TCACTCCAAATATTGCATATGAATAAAGTCTTCCAATCGTACACGAAGTCCTCACACAACAAACTCTCCGTGGCTATTTTCCAGCGAGAACTCTCTGCCACTTAAACAGTGAAATCTGTTCTGTCTCTGTCGTTATATAGCCTCGGTACCGATTACACAGAAAACAGGCTCTATTGTTGTAGAGGAGTGTTTACCACAATGTTGCAAAGCAGCAGTCGCAGCACTGATTTAATAGAAAACGCCGTACTTCTATTGTTGCCTTGCGCATATTTGGGATCAAGGTGTTTAAGAGTCAGTTACCTAGCAATGCTCTGGCTGTCCACGTTACAATATTGATTGTATTTATCCGACTATAGGAACCACAGATACAACATAGCCCCTTTCTCCAGCACAAAGTTTTAGGAAAAAATAATTTTATCATATTGATAAAACACATTATTGTTTTTCAGAAGAAATGCAACTTTTACCTCAGTCACCAAACACTGGGCTGAACAATAATATATCTTGGACTGCATATAATTACTAGTCTCGTTAGAGACCACCAATTCAAAATGGTCATCATATGTGGCGTGTGAGAATGAAGGAACCTGTAAGCCAAGAATACTTCTAGCTTACATATAGTCTCACATAATTGTGTCACGTAATTTATTAAATCCAAGTATTATTGTAATAAACACGCTTACTATAAGCATTAAAAAAAACATAATGTATTAAAACGAATTTCAATCATCCATAACTGTTCACTACTTGCACTTATACCATACACTGTACCTTAAATCACTTCATAACAATCACCACAAAGTGCCACCTGCATCCACAATCTAAATATCTCCCAATAATTTTATATCCTGAAAAACTTGTGTGGCTCTGCTGATATATATATGGAACTGAATAAACTTCAGGTTAGGGTGGTGGTACTGATGCTGGAAATCTAATGATCCCTGGTTTTGAAATATCTTCAGAGTGATGCAATATTCTAGATACACAAGTTTCGTGATGTGCCACAGATACGAGATACTACTTTCCCAGAACTAGCTGAATCACATTCAATTTTTATGTAGCTTTTTAGTCACAGATATAAGGTGACCATCTAGTCTTCAGGATGAAATAAAACTTAAAAACACTGTCTTAAGAATCAGGAAGTATGGCATTCAATGCCACCAAGAGGACATCAAAACTTACAATTGGTGCAAAATCATGAACCCGCCATCACAATGAGAACAGACCTACTTGCAGTTACTTGTAAGTTTAATGAGTTTTGGTAACCCCTTTATGTCTGGCCCTAGAAGTTTTGGACAGCTCTTAAAATGTTGCTTAATTTGTCCATCTCTGATGAATACTGAAATGAACTGCATGAGGTCTCTACATATGTATAATATGACATCACAGCACCAAGTAGGGAAGAGTATCATCACCGTTGGTAACTGAGTTTTATTCCCTCTCAAACTAACATATGTTTGCAACACTTCTCATATACACCAACTATATATATTTTCAATGTTGCTACCAAATAGACATGTGAGATTGAATCCCAATCAGCAGCACTGGATATGAAATTTAAAACTGGTTTATATAGACTAAAACTGATACTGAGGAGCCATTAGTTTGTATTGGATTTCAGGTTTTCATGGTGGTGAAGATCTGGATTGTGGTCTTCTGGGTTAGGGCACTGTGGTCTGGTAGCTGTATTCAACATTCTGAAGTAATATACTGCCTGAAGTTTCATTTATACCCTGAAGATAGAAGCAGCAAGTTGATAAATACCTACAATTCTACACAGTGTCATAATCTGGGAGACCATGACCCCAGAACAGTTTTCACATCCTTCACTTTCAACTTCTCTTTAATTCTCTCTACCAAAATGTATGCATTTGTGAAAGTCCAGATGGTTTCATGAGTTCAAAACAATTACATTAATGTGAATTACTACATCAATACATTCATGGACATACTTAGTATATATATCATTCAAAATGTGACTGAGTTTCTTAAATACATTATACTTTTAATTATCTGGAATAAAGACAAGGCAAAAAATAATTTACTTTTAACCCACACTACTGTGTAGTTTGCTAAGAAAGATGAGCACTGAATTTGCAAGTACATGTGGCTATAGTTCATTAACCAATAAAAGAAAGTGCACAAAATGAAACAAAAAATGTATGCACAATTCAAGGGTTTTTAGTAATAAATACCTATATGGACTACAGCAGAGACATGATAGATGTCCAGCTGAAATTTAATTTCATTCCACAGGTGTCTTAAACATCTCTGGTGTGACAGTAGCAGCAGCTGCAGTGATTTGGTGTTTTAGTTCCTCCACATCGGTTACCTTCCCAGTAGACCCATGGATGACACTCTTCACGTAACACCAAAGGAAGAATGTGAGAGGCATCAAATCAGGTGACCTTGGAGGAAAAGGGACTGGGCCTCCATGTTGAATACATGTACAGCAACTGTGCTTGTTTACCACACCTCTAGTGTGGAAAGTGGCTACATCCATGAAAAGAACCTCTAGAGTCTTCTATCTTTACATTTTGAAGCTGCAAATGTAGCCATGTATGTAGAACTCTTGTTTACAACTGACTTCAAGTGAAGAGTTCTGTATTCTGAGATACAATGCTGTGTAGTCAGCTGAAAGCCAACTGACGTTTCAGTGGAACATGTCGCCTCCATCTTCAGGGTCAAAGAATAAACCAAGCAAGAAACCAGCATGAAGCAGGTAGCAAGCAGAGCTCTGCTTGCTCTGAAATGTTGGAAGACTTTCAACGGACTACAAAGCATTATATCTCAGAAGATAGGACTCTTCATAACCACTGCTGTCAAACCCTCAAATCCTACAAACTGACTTCAGTATTTTCTGTTCTTGGGTTCACCAACTTATGGATTTCCCCAGGCTGCGTACAACTGAACCTTATATGCATTCAACATCTGCTTCAGAAATTCTCAGTCAACTAGCGTGTTCTGTTTGCAAAACAGTACTACATTGTCATGTATTTAGTGACCAGACAGAGGGACTGAATTGGTAATTCAATTTATTGGGCTCTTATAAACTGTAACTACAATTAATTATAGAACTATGGTGAATTCACACTCTACAATTCACTATTGCAAACACTTATTCTTCTCAGTCTGCTGTGTTTTCACTACGCTTTGCCTGACAATGGATCCCAACACTGTAGATTCCCCAACTTCCATATATGACAGCTCTGTCCTCACTAACTGGTGATTGTGTCGCAACTCCACGCCATTGATGTTTGGCTGTGCCTGGACACCACTAGCTATCACAGGTTAGCAGTGACTTTCAACTTGTCCTCTTGTCTTACTTAAACCTCCAGTTGGCTGTCCTTATATAGCCTCTGCGTGGAGCACAAAGAAATGCAGCCTCCAGCATTCCTCTTACTGCTGCATTCATGTATTCATTGTTGTGCAAAAATGTTTACCACCTGTTTGCTAGCAATGGTCATTTTTCTGGTTTTAAGTCCTCATGTTACAATATCCTCTTCCATCCATAAGTGATCTCTTGTAAATCTGTCTGAATACTCTTTGCACACCAACAAATTTAAATTCAGTGAGCCACCATCCATCATGCAGTATGCTTTCACTTGCCAAGTCTCAATCATACTGAGGATGCTTACCACTTATGTGACACAGAAGCAGTGCTGTGCAAGGAAATGGTGCCAATATGCCAACATAACTCTGAATTATGCATAATTTTTTGGTTTAATGTTGTTCAGTATCCTTATTGGTTATAAAATGTACTCTTACAAAATCCCGAGTCACTAAATGGACATGTGTACAACAGTTTGGTTCTATAAACCTTAAATAAATTAGATTTGTAATGAAAATGAAATAAGGAGTCTTGAGCAGAACTTGTAAAGCCTACCTGCTGACTGCACAGACTTCCAGTCCTGCAAATCTTGTACTCTTCATGTTATATGAGTATTTAAGTAATGTCAATTTATACTTCAAAAATAATATGAAATTCAGCTCAAGGGTTATCATATATGTAAATCCTACTTGAGGAAGAATTCTTTTTACTGCCAGCAGCTGTGAATATACAAGCATTGCAGATGGTTGTTGTTTTATTATTTTATTTCTAGGAGAATTTATACATTGTCTATATTTGTTTTATCATATATATTCCCTAAGTTTGGCACTGTTACCATGTTACTGCTGTCTTAATACAGCTTATATACCTCAATTTGTATGAGTTGGGATAGCTTTTTCAGTATACTGAAGGGTTTGATTGCAGGCAGGGTCAAGATTTTACTCTTCTTCACAATGTCCAGACTGGCTCTGGGGTCTACCCAGCCTCCTGTGCAATGGGTACTAGGGGCTCTTTCTCTGGGGAGGTAAAGTGGCCAGGGCATGAAGCTGACCACTCACTTCAATCTAGCACAGAGGTCAAAAATGATGGAGCTATACCTCCACGCCCCTATATTTTTTTTGTGGTGAACTGCTTAATTAAGTACAAGGACAACCATACCTTATAACTATAGGAATGCTTATAATTTGTCTTCATATAAGATCTCATCCTTCACGCTCCAATGGTCCATTAGTACGGCCACAGTGCAAGCAAAATGCAAATTTTCACTCAGTGTTGTTACTGTTTCACAATATACAAAAAACTTGCCTTAACAAATAACTGCATATTTTTCAAGAATATCTATTACCATACATCTCTTGAGGACCTCATATTAAGTGGTGCTAGTGTCGCAACCACCTCACACAAGTTTATGTACATGCCATTTCAATGTCACTGGATGTAGGGAATTCAAAAGTATAAGACTGGAGTAGCCTACAATGGCACAACATTCATACCAAGTTTAATGAAATTTGGCCAATTAGTATAATATTTAAAATGGGACCACACAAAGAGAATGGTTATCTCATAAGCCTATTCCTTTTCCTTAAGAAAAGAAACAAGGCTAAAAAATGCATGGACAATCCACATGTGGATGATCAGGGTGAGAGTTAAAACTCTCAAACAATAAAGATACAGGCCATATTATGTTTATTTTTGTCAAAATAATTATAACAGAGGTTATGGCTGCTAAAATACAATATCTAGAAAATGCATGTTAGATATTTTAATTATGAGTTAAATAATTACAAATAACCTAGTGCTGAACTCTGTGAACAATGATTACCTCATCATAACGATATTTAGAAGATTAAGAATGCTTCACTCTTCTCTTACTGCTCCGGGCACCAACGAAACATTTTCCGACTACAATGAAATAAAAAAAAATCCCAAATTTCACTATAATTTCTTCATATTGTCTAACTGAAAAGTCTGCAACATATTTAATGTATATAAATTTATTCTTCTATGAACAATTTCATTTTCAGGAAAGACAGAACTGATACATTATGAACACACAGATGCAAAATGTGTTGCACTATGATGACCAACAATGATAAACCATATTAATCACAGGTGACTAGGAAAGTAATGGGTGTTCAAATAATTTCTTAATGTCAGCACACTCTTTTGCAATCCACACTTGCCCTATTTCAATTTGCTTCTCAAGCTCATTGTTGAAGCAGCAATAATTGAAGCCATCCAATTTTGTTCAAGCTTAGACTGGATCGGGTGTTCCCGTCACAGTGGGATTTTTTTTTCAAATCTATCTTACTGATCTTCGCTGCCCAAATTATTCATAATTTTAATGTCACTTAGAGGTAATCACCTTGCCAGAGTCTTCATGCCCCTGGTACTTTGGTTTCCCATATGAGAATGGAAGGTACCGATACCTGATCATATGCTGAAACAAGAAAAAGTAACAAATAACGATAACATAATAATATTTCATGCATTACTATCTAAACAACCTCTCTTCCACCATTTCTGGAACTTGTTTTTAGTTCTTTGAAGGAAAATTTGAAATAAAAAAAAATAGCTCACTTAAATTCTCATTAATGTGGGTAATCAGTAATCAATATCAAATGGCAAACGTGTCCCACATTTTACAAAAAACTAGCATCATTCAAAATTTCAAGGGGTATAATTAATGACATGATGATGTTCCCATATCTATCTAATTCAGCCAATACACAACTGTTTAAACATTGTGTCAATCCACATGAAGATGACAATACTAAATGCAAAAACATAAAGTGGATGTACAATTAATGTATTTACGTCAATTAACGATATTCAATAATTGACAGGTTACTGTTTTAAAAAGGCTAATTAAGATCACAGTTGTTGCATGAAATACATGCAGTACATTTCCAGTTTAATTCTATAGTTGTAATCTATGAATCACTGCAGCTTTGTATGAAAAATCTTGTATAGTGTGTTATAAAATCACTAAAAATCTTATGGCTTATGGTATCATCATGTCCATGAGTCTGATGGGTCCAACAACTTTTGAACAAAGTGGCAAACTTTCATGTACAAAACGGTAAAGATATTCCTGTAACAGGCCACTGAGGCCTATAGGGTTGTGAGATGTTGAGGCTCCCATATCTTCCACAAAATAGGCTCACAGATGGTGGTGAGGTTGTCAGCCTTATGCGCCAGCCACACTTTACCCCCAGGAAGATTCCTGATACTCATTTCTGTTAGAGGCTGAGTTGACCCCAGGGCTATAGTGCAGCTGGAAGGATTAGATCCACCGAAAAACCAATGACCTCATCGAGAATTGAACCTGTAACCTTCCAGCTCATAGCACAGTGCCTCAACCAACTACGCTACCAGATGCTTTTTTTTTTCTTCCACATAACTTAGTAAATACTGTGCTACTAGGGACAACACCTTTGTACATTTTAATTTTCTACCATCAATAATATCAACATGGTGGCCAAGCAATCATCTGAGTAAGGAGCGACAGAAGGGCTAGTTAATATAGGGTCTTGAAGGTATGTGCGATAAAAGATGTTTGAAAAATATGCAGCTTTTATTGATTTCTTTCTGGAGAATGCAAAACAACGTAATCATACAAAATTATATACACCCATTGGTCTTATGGTGGTAAGTAAAGGACCATCAGGGCCATGCATGATATGAAAATACGTGGGGCAATCCAAAAGTTTCCAAAATTTGAATTTTGCACGCGAATGGTTATGAGTACATCGAAATACCACTAGGTGTCTCCTCACACATCCTTCTCGAAACAGTGTGGCAAGCGGCGTCGAGTTGAGTGGTTGGGTTTATTGTTGGTGAACGTATTTCCATTGTTGTGTTTCCATAAGTTTCTGGTTTTGCGATGGCTGACCTGAAAGAGCAGCGTGTCTGTATAAAGTTTTGTTTCAAACTTGGGAAAACCGCTGCAGAAATGCACCAAATGTTGAAGCAAGCTTTTGGTGAAAATGGTTTAGGCCAGACATAAACTTACAACTGGTATAAGCGTTTTAAAAATGGCCGAACATTGACTGATGATGACGATCGTTCAGGACAGCCGTCAACGGGCAAAACACCAGAAAATGTCGCGAAAGTTAGGGATCTGATTCTGCAAGATCGTAGACTGACCATCCAAGACCTCTGTAACACCTTGGGACTAAGTTATGGTACATGTCAACGAATTTTGTCAGAGGAACTGAACATGAGGAGGATTGCGGCGAAGTTTGTGCCACGACTGCTGCAAAATGAACAGAAGCAGCATCGCTTGGAAGTCTGCAGGGAACTTCAACAACAGCTTCAAGAGGATCCAAACTTTCTTTCGAAGGTTGTCACTGGTGACGAAAGTTGGGTTTATGGCTACGACCCTGAAAGTAAGCAGCAATTGTCGCAATGGAAGAGCCCTTCTTCACCTCGGCCAAAAAAAGCTCGACAAGTCAAGAGCAACATTAAGTCCATGTTGATCTGTTTTTTTGATACTGACGGGATTGTTCATAAGGAGTTCGTCCCTCCTGGTCAGACAGTCAATAAAGAGTTCTATCGTGATGTTCTAAGGCGTTTGAGGGAGAACATGAGGAGAAAACGTCCAGAGAAGTGGCGCACGAACGACTGGGTACTCCACCATGACAACGCACGACCGCATATGGCTTACATTGTGCAGGAATTTTTGGCTAAAAACAAGATGGCAGTTGTTCCCCACCCACCATACTCAGCAGACTTAGCTCCATACGACTTCTTTCTCTTCCCGAAGATGAAAATCAAGTTGAAGGGGCGAAGATTTGATACAGTTGAAGAAATTCAAGCAAAAACGCAGACGGTACTAAACACCCTAACAAAGAAAGACTTCCAGGATGCATTTGAAAAGTGGCAGAAACGCTGGGATCAGTGTATGCGCTCCCAAGGGGACTACTTTGAAGGTGATGGTGCAGAATAAGATCTAGGTAAGATGTAATAGTTTTTATTAATATATTTCGGGAACTTTTGGATTGCACCACATAAATCATGCACACACTTAAAAATTCAGTTCAATACATTGTTTACATGTCAAGAATACAATGTGGTGGTAGCAGGAAATTTTGAGTTTATAATTGCTGATAAATTTAATATAACTAATATTACTACCACTGGAAAGAATGCAAGAAATTGATAACCACCTCAAAACTGCGGAAATGACGATGATGGGGAGAACATGATGTCTTTGGCAGGATTTCATGCAATCCAACTCCAAAATAGAGAGGGCTGTAGATATGTTTATACATTTATGTAAACATATGAATAGAATTATTACTTCAGAGTATAAAACTATCATTACTACTATAATCAAAGAACTTTACCATTCACAGATGGGCTAAATACAGCATACAATCACAAAACAGCTCCTTAAACATCAGACAGTCCAAGAATATCATAATTTTTCTTACCTGAATTTGTTTCCTCATGGTAATACAGAGGAGGGTTATGAAATACACAACAAGGATGGGCCAAAACACAGGAATGTTGAAGCAATTAAAGAATGTGCATATTATTCCAAACACTGATGATCTTGTCACTGAATGCCAAAACTTGAACTCAGGAAGTCGGCGGATGAATGGTCGGAATTCTTCGTTTGCCCTTGTGGGTAGCTGTGGACCTTCATCTACAACATTTCACAATATTCAAATAAATTATAAAGATGGGCTCCACATATGATATACAAATCAACAATAAATATAATATTGACAATTATTTAAATATAAGTACCTTCATATTCATCTGCAGGATCTACCTTGGGTGTAATGAATGCTATGAATAGATTTAAGTGGTAAATTCCCAACGCATATGTAATGATATACCATCCCTGAAACAAAAGACAATGACATTTAAATGAATTAATCTATAATAATATGTTTAATTACATGGAGCTTGGAAAGTAATATAGTACAAACACAAGATATTAGAGGAAAATTAGAAGTAACAGATACATCAATATAATTATAAAAAATACTATTAAAAGAAATAACTAGAGCATTCGAAAATAATGCCTGGAAATAAACACCAAACCTGTTCTATCAACATAAACCAAAGTGTGTAAGATGTTGCAGTAATTCAGCAACACAATAGAACAATTTTTATTACTTGTAACAGAAACAGGCTAAACCAGTGACAATTATGATGATGAAGAATATGGATAAATGTTTACTGTGGCTAGCAGTTCAATCCAGTGTGACATACGAGTACAAACAACACAGCACGCACGTGAACTACACTACTAATAATAAGAACATAAAATCAAGAGAAATAAATGACATCTCCCACCATCAGGAGGAAAACAACATGACCCAATGTCAGCTCAAGATATTTTAATATAATAACTAATTTTTTACATGGAAATTTTAATACAATTTTAAATAGATTGGGAGGCTACTGTATGGAAAAGTGAACACCATATTGCGTGCAGTGAAAAACCCCAGTCAGAATAACCAGGAAATACACTAAAAGAAACTCATCATAAGTAAATCTACACTTCAAGAAGCGCCATTGTGAGTGCCTAAGACAAACATCAAAACCAACTGTGATAACAAAATTTATATAGAAAGCATTTGTCATATCTAAAGTGCATATTGTTAAAATTTCTTATGTGACAGTGTTTCCTTATCGTAGTGGTGCACCTCTGAAGATGATTCTTTTGAATCGAAACGTAAGGTGAATGAGGACTGAAAGTGTTGTAAACTTGTATGTCACACTGGACTGAACTTTTCATTATCTACTCTGTATCTAATCAATAGTGGATCTACTGTACCAAAATCCATAATTTCCAGTAGTTTTGTCTACATCTGGAATTAACCTTGTAGAAGATCACTGAATAAAACTTAATATGAAGTCTATAATGATGACATTCCCTGATAATTACTACAGAACGTATTACTGCCCCTTTTATTAAATACGAACTGTAACAAATTCCTTCCACTGCTGTGGCAAATTATTCCTTATTCCAGACATGATAAATTCATGCATCTTAGAACACAATGTTCTATCTCTTGTTTGGAACACTGCTCCTTAAATTTGATCAATGCCTAACGATTTATAGCTCTTCAACTTTTCAATCAGAGCCTCAACTTCATAGGAACTACATTCAAGCAGTACGCATTTCAACTGGTCTAACATCATTAACCCCATTAACAGCAGTAGCCGACAGAAGAAAATTTTCTACCCATGCAAAATATTGTTGGAATCTGCAAGCAAATTACCCTTCTCATTCTTTATTAACCTAGTTCTAATTTTGTAGTCTTTAATAAATTTATTTATAATTTTCAGTGAATGCATCCTGTTGTGTATCACATATTATTTCTTACTGAAAACTGTCACAATACAACAATCAATAATATGTGTAAGTAGCTCTATGAGATACTTTTGCTACATGTTTCAGCCTTCAAAAAGCCATCATTAGGCAAATACATTAAACTTTTTGTTATTGAATTGCATGTCAAATAGAGGATACAGTGCTAAACTTCCAAGTGTATACAATGCTATAAAATGATATGAGTGAATATAAAATATAAATCACAATAAAAGTTGAAGTCTTAAAATAACAAGTTACATAGTCAAAAGTACAGTTAAAAGATGTATATGTGATGGTATTTGGAAGCTGGCAGTTGTAATCGTAATTATGTAATGTTCATACGGACATATTATATTCACAATGGCTGATGTGGTGTTCGGATGCCCACTGTTATGTTGTATGTTATTATTTAATATTTGATACCTGGAAATAATATATCATTGGTAACTATTATTGAATTACTTAGTGATTTTATATGGTATTGATTGAATTATTATGGTTATGTAGTTTACTTACTATCTGACGGGCAACTCTGTTGTGTAAATGTATGATCTGATGGATAGATAGGTAGATTACAACTGATTTGGGATGTATGTCATTGTAGCATGCTGTGTGGGTGAGGGGTGTGGGGGTGTGGTGGATGTAGGATAGGGGTAAGGAAGTGTTTATATTTGGTAGGTTGCAATTATTGTGCTGAATATTGGGTTAAATGTTTCAGTAAAACTGTTGTTCAACTGGATGTTTTGCTTGATGATTTCATATATATGAAATCTTTCATGAGTATCTAACATTCGTCCTTTCTTTCTGATGTACTAAATGTCTATAGTTTGATCTATTGTTCGATATTCGTGGATAGTGTCTACTATATGCTGGGCAAATCTGGAACGTAGTCCACATTACATATATTACGATTACAACTGCCAACTTACAAATACCATCAAGTATACATCTTTTAACTGTACTTTTGACTATGTAACTGGTTATTTTAAGACTTCAACTTCTATTGTGATTTATATTTTATATTCACTCATATCACTTTATACCACTGTATACACTTGGAAGTTGAGCACAGTATCCTTTATTTAACATGCAATTCAATAACAGAAAGTTTAATGTATTTGCCTGATGATGGCCTTTTGAAGGCTGAAACAAGTAGCAAAAGTATATCTTAGAGGTACTTACACGTATTATTGATTGTTGTATTGTGACGGTTTTCAGTAATAAATAAATTTATTTATGCCTCTATAAAAGTCTCTAACATTCCTGTTATTACTGTCTATTTCAAGCTCATCACAATTAAACCTCGATTTAATAGATTTTGGATTTAACACATAAAATTCTTTGATACTACCCCATTATTGTCCAGTTGACATGTTAGTAATTCACCATAACAGTCTGGTTAATATGTCATGTATGCATACTTTGTCAGTTGTGCTGCAAACATAACACATATCTGGTACATAGATCGTTCTATCACAAATTAAATTTGCGTTGTGTGTTAAAAATATATTTTTTTTTTAAATTCACCACAGATTAAAAAAAAAAGAAAAAGAACAAACATGAGTGTAAAACAAAAGTTAGAACTGACTGTATATTAGAATTTGGATTTAACAGATATTCAGTAATTTAAGATACACCTCCCCTAGTTAGCCTGTCAAACTGAAGATATACTGTAGTTTCTGTCCTTCACATATCCCCCCCTTCATTTTGCTCCTGAAATATCTATTAGTTTCACATCTTACATTTTCAGATTATCTCCATTTGACTTGGATTCTGGAACCACTGCTATTTCAGCTGTTTCTTTTAATCTAATAATTTGGAATATTCTTCATCGAACCATCGTTATGTTACTTTAACTCATAACAGCTTACACCATCTTTTGCCAGTTTTGATACTCCCTCTAACACTCTACTTTTCCAAGTCCTGCTTATATCCATATAATCATATAACTTCCCAAATGCTGCAAATCCTTTGAAATATTGACCTAATACTTTACATTAATTTCCACATTGTTTCTTGAGATTACATCTCTGCACTGAACTACTGCATTTATCTTTTGCCTATCAACAGTCTCTCTGTAACTTTTGCAACAATCTCTTTTGCCTATAAACAGTCTCTCTATAACATCTGCAACCATCAGAAAGTGGTCAGCATTATAATCAGCTCCTCTAAAAATAACTGGATATGACATATACAGGAATATTTTTTCTAACTATGAAGACATAAACAATCTGATCCCAGTATATTTATGAATGCTGTGATGTGAGAACATGTACTCTTTAATAATTAGACTTCCTGACAAGACAAAATTTACTGCTCTAATCCCAATACATTTACTGATTTTATGAAAACTCTCATACCAAGCTGTTGGTTTGAAAATATTTTCTTTCCCAGTTTTTGCACTTAAACCTTCTAACAAAATTTCCATATAGTATTTAGGAACCTTAGTACATACTCTAATTCCTTATAAAAACCAACCTTTGTATCATACTTTACTGGAGGCTGCACACTAAGAACAATATCACACCAATGGCCTCTTAATATTACATATGACATCCTATCACTAATAAACTCTACCCTCTTAACCACTGATAAGTTTCAGTCATGTACAACCCTTCCCCCCCCCAGAGAGAGAGAGGGACTGGTGTGTCCTTATGTGATGATTGGCATCTCCATTTCTGCAGAGAAATGTATCTGCTGATTCAGTGCCATCCCTGTCCCATCTGACATCCCGCATTTCCACCAAATCTAAGTTACACTTCATTAATTCTCTAGCTACTGTTAACAACAAACGTGATGGAGACTCCTAACATAGCATGCTCCAATTTTCATGTCCATTTTCTGTTGCTCAGGTCAGTGGTTCTCAAACGCTTCTAGCTTGGTCCATCTGTGTTTAGATCAGCAACCTAATTTTCGTTTTCTTTCCTAATCAAATAAGGCTATTAGCATTTAATAGATTGCATGCACTTGCATTTCTATATCTGACTCTTTCTGCAAATTACAGAAAACATACCTGTAGCAGAAAAACTCTTGCTAAGAAAGCTATTATTAGAACAGCTGCAAATAACCACCTTGTCAATGCATATGGTGTAATATCATCCAGAAACTTCTGGTAGATCTGTAACATGTGTGCAATTAGATAAAATATTAAATAAACAGTTAATGTTTAAAAACTACCTTAGAGCTAATTTTGCCACTACATAATATTCTAGCTGGTTATAATTTTCTTTGTCTGTAGTGATAATGAAACTGAATTACACAATAGTAAAATGATCCTCAGCAAAAGGTTACATTTTTGCTTTGTTCTGACACCACCAATATTAAGTCACATGCTGAAAAGTAGAATGGAAATATGAAAATCCTGAATACCACAGCACATTATGCCTAATCAAACAGCATTTTCTCAGGATTCTAATGTGTTGAAAACTCATTAATTACTTGGGATATAATTTAACATTAACATTATTTCATTAATTATTTGGGATACAATATATCCCATGAAGTAAAAAGTATTTCAATGCAAAAACTATGTCAAAACAATACAAATTGTAAAATCACATCTTCAAACTGTCAATAGTTTCCAGGCATGTACATGAATATGAATTTACAAGACACTTCTTAGACCAACATTACATCACTGAGTGAATCATGGGCAGTGAGTGGTGATGAGAACAGACTGATGTAAGCAGAAATGTGTTTCATGAGATACACCCTTTCATACCATACAAGAAATCAAGCAGTTATGATGGAACAAATTCCCCAAACAACAGAGTTTAAAGAACTATAGAGAAGAAACATTTTAACATGATTCCCAAAGAACACTTTAACATATCAGCAAAAAGAAAGATGATGTCTGAGAAGACCTATGAAGTGACAGAATGATTCTGTTGTATAATATCTGTAATAGCTCTCAGAAGAGCTTAATATATGAGTACATGGCAGAAAAGATGAAAGTGATGACATAAATCCTGCTCGCTTGGGGAAAAATTCAAACATTTGCAGGAGTTTCCTTATTCATGGTGCTCTTCTGAAGGATGCAGTTGAGTTAAAAAAATAAAAAATCTGGAGGACTCAAATATTTTTTAGGGAAATATGAATGTACTTGCCCCAGGTTCCATGACAAGCAAGTAATAAATGCAGTGTCCGAACATACAGTACGACCATGATATCGCCAGTGTTACACAAGACAAACGTTTTTTACATATTTCTATCACTGACATACCATTTTCAAAAAGCAGTCTTCATCCCAAGTCACATAACACGAAGGTCCTAGTACAATGACACAAATGGAAAAACAGATGATAACAACAACTACAGAAAGAAGAGTACCTAAACTGACAAAATTTGCATGTTTCTTGTAACAAAAAATTATATTTTTCTAAGAAACCGCTTTTACAGAAGGAGCAATCTCTACTCGATATATGCAAATGGCATTTAGATGTTCAGTAGGGCCACACCATAGCTCAAGCAGTTAGTCGGTGGCGGCCTGGGTTTGATCCTGGGTCTGGTCAAGTGGGATTTGTGGTGGACAAAGTGGAGCTGGGGCAGCTTTTCTCTGAGTACTTCCGTTTCCCCTGCCAATCTTCATTCCATCAATTGCTCCACAATCACCCTCACCTATCATCTGGGGCTGCTACAATAGGCCAGAAGTGGCCGCAGTACAAGGGACTTAGTCCCACCCCACTAGCAATAAAAAAACAGATGTTCAGTGGCTAAAGGGGAGAAGACGGCAAGATGGTGTGTGCGTTTCTCACAAATTGCCAAACATGATGAGAATAATTTATAACATTTACACAAAAAATATTAAGAAAAAAAAAACAGAAGTGCACCACAATTGCCATCTCTATTACAACTGACTGACAGACAGAGAGGCCATCCACATTACAACTGTCGTCATGGATCATAAGTCAAGGAATTAAAGGGGAAAGATGTCTCAATTCCTCACAACTACTACCATGAAACCAGAAGTGTAAAAGAAACATTCAGTTGGCGAAGAGTCTAATGCTTGGTTCTGCTCATGACTCTGATAAGAACTGCCAGCTTCAAATTGCACATGCTCACCTCTTGGAACTTCATAATGGCTTTCGATATGATCTTCACAGTTTCTTCCAATCACCAATATGGGATGTCGTTATATGAAGAGACAAACACTTCTTGATATGTTCTATAATATTTATTATAGTTGCACAGTATACACAGATGCACTTTGGTTTGAAGAACTGAAGACTAATAATAACAATAGTGAACTCTGTAACAACTTGAACGTTGTATTGAAACGCAGCTCTGAACTAGAAATGTAGAACTTTCACTCAATGAATGTATCTTCTTATATAACCTTGAGTCAGACCAACAGAAAACATGTCACTGTCTGTATTGTATCAGGATTTGCCATCACCTGCTGTTTACTCAGTCATTGCTAGGCAGCAAATGGTTTCTAGCTCCTGATTGGCTAGTACTTGATCCACTGTGTGTGCTTCCCATAGTCACATGTAGACCTTACATAGAAATGACTGTTTACTCACTGCTGCTAAGCAATGGTACTTGCATTGTCACTGTAACATTCTTTTTATGCTAGTGAGGTGGGACTAAGTCCCTTGTACTGCAGCCACTTCTGGCCTATTGTACCAGCTCCAGATGATAGGTGAAATGATTGTGGAGCAATTGGTGGAATGAACATTGGCAGGGGAAACCGAAGTACTCAGAGAAAACCTGCCCAGCGCCAATTTGTCCACAATTCCCACTTGACCAGAATTGAGCTTTCATTAGTGTGCTGGTATGGTGTGGTGTTATGTTAGGGCTACAGTCTGGGTATTAGCATGCTCATTCCTCATAATTAACTGTCTTGTACTTGAGGTTCTTACAGCAGTACTGGGCAACATTCATCACATCCCAGAAGATAGTACTTCTCGGGCTTTGTAAATTCTTTTGTGTATGACTATTAATTCATATATAAAATACCATCTTATACATATGTCTTACTGCAGATCTGAATCTAGCAAATATTCTTACTACCATTTACATCCCTTCCTTCGAAATTAACGCTTTCTAGCTATTACACTAGCAGCCCATTTCACAAACATTTCCACAGTAACGTCCCACTTACACTGGCCAACATACACGGAACACGTACCCATGAAAAAAGTAATGCTGCATGTGATAAAACTTTACATTTCATCACCTACTTGTCATAACTAATTACATACCAATCATATCAATTCTTGATACGGTACCTCTTTTAACAATTCAGATTATACTATTGCACTTCCTCCTCAGTTACCATACTGATCCCATTAAACATCACTTCAATAATAATCAGTGGATGGTTTCCACAAATTTATCCTCCTAATTAATTACAAATTAAAAACAGATCTACTCATGCAATAATAATGGGAGAGACAGGTCATCAAGCTGATTCACATGTTTAAATTAACACAGTGATCATCAAATACTCATAAATAAGCAAATAGCATGCACTCACTACGGTACTATGTACATTTTCATACCTGCTGTAGCCGTTTCCAAGCTTGAGATACAACATTCCCTTTGGAATTTGGAACTGCATCATCACCTTGCATCATCGTGGATATCCCACATCTATAAGTTTACTTGTCCACAAAATGATTCCCTGTAGGCCTATGGCATAAATATCGTATTAGGTTATGTTCCATAAACAGAGTACAATATCGTCAATCTCAGTAATAACTTATCCAATAAAGGTATTTCATTAATGCTTCAACCAGAATTCGAAGCAGACGAAGTCACAGTCCTCGTGTCGATTGATAAGAACAAACACCTCGAGCTTCTAGACACCAGAAATTATGGTATTTAACATATTATTCAAAACACAACAAACATTACTTCTTGCTGTAACTGTCACATTATACTTACATAAAACTGTCCACGTCAATCACCTCTCACCTAGACATAATCATCACGCATTGCTAACTGCAGATATGCAACTTAATGCTAATAACGGGAACAGCACCGAGGAGCACAGATTACTAAATACTAAATATGCACTAGTAACATATTGACCTGTGTCACTGACTAGATACAAGGTTTGGGTAGATAATTGGATTTATTAAACGGTTATGACTCAAAACAAGAAAAAATTATTATAATACTTCCACTAATTCGTCCATCCATCGAAATCATGCTACGAGGAAAAGGCTACAATTTCAACCGCAAGACGTGACACTTGCGCTCTTGGGACTAGTTACAGAGATTATTTTCCTCCCACAACATGAATATTACCACAACATCTTTATTTCATTTTGCTCATATTGGTATTGGCTATTTTGAAAACAGAATAGTATCATGACGCGTTATTTGCTCTACATATCGTATTTAGGAACGAAGTTTAGGTATATTAATATTCATTCTTTGGTATGCTTGTGCTACTTGTCACGAGTTTATTATTGCGATATTTCGAAATGCGGACATTTGGAATTAGGCGTACATAATCTGGTATGAGACGCATGGTTAGGTTAGTTATTGTAAGGGCCGTCCATCTCAGCAGGTTAGAATATCTTTACATTTTTATTTATTACCAGCGGCTAATTACTGGCTTGAAGAACCCTGTTAATCGCAGAAGTCAGAGTTTTCCCATTATTACTACCGATTACTACGTCCAGAACGAATTGGAACTAGAATTAGTATAGAACACAATGTTACTGAAGAGTTCGATCTTGTGGGATGCAATGCTTTGTAGTTCGTTGAAAATCAACCGACGTTTCAGAGGAGCATGTTGCCTGCCTTCACTGGTTTCTTGCTTGGCTTATACTTCGACCTTGAAGATGGAGGTCGCTTGTGCCCTCGAAACGTCTATTGGCTTTCAACGGACTACGCCGCGTAACCACCACTGTGAGTACCACAAGTCCTACATAGGATATTACTGATGAACGTAAAAAAGAAAAATAAACTGATATTCTGTAGTGATAGTTATGGCCGAGATATACCTATGTAACTCAGTAAAACTAATGTGGATATCTCATTGTATGGTGAAGTTAGGAATGGTGCTAAGGTGAAAGATGTACTGAAAAATTCTGCAAAGAATGTGCAGTATTAGGCCCTAAGGACCATGTTGTAATTATGGGGGGTGCCAATTACATTTTCAGGAATGAAACAAAGAATTTTATAACAACTTTAAAAAGTACACTTTCTGCACTGACCTCTACAAATGTTGTGGTTCTCAATATACCAACTAGGCATAATTTAATAAAAGAATCAATAGTAAATAAGGAAAGCAATTATGGACATAAACAAGGTATGTAAAAGATTCAGAAATGTAAAAGTACTAGACGTAAGCAACATAAACAGAGCGTGTCATACAAGACATGGATAGCACCTAAACAAAATAGGCAAAGAGCATATATCTCAAGAAATACGTAAAATAATAGGCAAGACAGAAAAAAATAATAATAAGTGATAATAAATGAGACTGGATCCATAAGGCTCCAGTGATTACAAAGTATAGAAACCAACTCTAGACAAAAGCTCAAAATAATACATCAAAATGCACAATATCTCAGTAATAAAACTCAACTATTCACAGCATTCCTTCAAAGTACCACCCCAAATATACTGGCAATTTCTGAATATGGTCTTAAAGATGATGAAATTACTCAGTGTATATTAGAAGGATATACTGTAGCCTCACACTTCAGCAAAAAAGATCAAAAAGGGGGTGGGATAGCTCTTTACAGTTCTAGGAACATACAACATAAATCTCCGAAATGGGTTACTTTTGAGGTTAGTAGTGTGGCAGCATCCCACATAGCACGCTGTTCCGCCGGTCTTTCAGACAACACTCACTCCTAAGTGAATATCACATTGGTGGCGACACTCATTTTTATACAGCACTCGATGTCCAACCCACTTGCAGATCATCACGTGCGCTAACCAATCACATTGGTAGCAGCACTCATATTTGAACAGCACTCGATGTCCAGCTCACATTTAAATCATAACGTGCGCTAGCCAATCAGCACTCACAAACGCAACTGCAAGTTTCGCTCCTCCATCAAGCATGGTATAAAAGGTGGGGCAATCACCAGTGAACACACACAATTCAGAGCGATCAGCCATCAGAGGCATCAGCTCTTCACTGAGTCATACTTTACAATTTTCAGCAACTTGTCTCAGTTCCTTTTTGTGCATGGCAAGACAACTTTCTCCCACTTTCATTTGTCATTCATAATCGTGTGGTTCTCATCACATAACATGCTATGACACAGTATCAGAAAATAAATGAAGAAACATATGACATGTAGGATTTGAGATTTTCACAGCAGTGGTTAAGAAGAAAACTATCTCCTGGGATATAATGCTATATAGTCTGTTGAAAGTCAACCTTGGTTTTGGAAGAACATATCTCCATCTTCAGGGTGGAATAAGCCAAGATACCAGTCTGAAAGGTGGCAGTTTGACTTGGCTTGTCACCTGCTTTCACGCTTGTATCTGCTCAGCTTATTCTACCCTGCAGATGGAGGGCATATATTCTTCTGAAACATAGGTTCACTTACATGGAGTTACTTACTACATGGAGTTATATCTCAGACATATTATATTACATGCTCAGACTTATATTATTATCAGACTTATTATATTTAGTACAAACATCAAATCTTGAAGCCTTTATATGTTTATCATCAGTAACTTAAGCCTTGTACCACCATTTGTCTTTAAAGAAAGAATTCTATCTACTTTCCATTGTGTTCCCATTGCCATTACTTAGAAGCTTGTGAGTCACCCACATCATGTCTTCAATGCCTTGAAATTGCATTTCTCTTCTAGGGGCGTACAGAAACAGCTGGTGAATGCAGAATCTACAAAATCAGATCCTGAATCAGTTCAAGGAATTCTTGAAATTTGCTCAAAACGTTTTAAGCCAGTAAATGAACCTCATGTTTATATGTCAAGCAGGTAGTAAATTCATTCATTCTGTAGGGATCAATGTGATAAAGGACAGAATCCAATAGTCTCATCATTTATAACATATCTTTCCCATGACAGAACAGATCGAGGAGTCCATGCACTATGTTCATCTGCTCACGTAGACTTGGAGCATGCTGGAGGTTTGACTTATCATCCAGCACATTTAACTGTTGGTTATAATCGGTACTTTGCTGAAGCAGAGCTTGATGTTAGGTATGAACATTTCTTCTTACTGATGTAAAACTGTATGTACAGTGAATGAAAATAGAAACATAATTCTCAGCCATGGGCCATAGACCCCTTTTGCATGCCATGTCAACGACATGAATCCATTTATATTTTTTGTTTTCAAGAGCCATATAAGATTAGTTTTAAATACAGACTGTTGGATACTTCAGTGAATAACACAAGTTCCTTGAAGCTAATGAGGCAAAGTTGTTCCTGTACTTAACTAATTAAGCACTATGCCATGAAAGCATATGGGGAAATGGATGTATAGAGCCACGTTTTCTTGACCCTGGCACTATTTGGAGGTGAGTTAAGCAAGTTTAAACTAATTTTTCAGTGCTTGTAAGGTCACTAAAAATGTATGAACTTTTATGCACATTGGGAAGTGTGGACAGTAATGAAAATTTAGTTGTACAAACATCAAGTTGAAATGTTGTCCTAATCTAGTGTCACCTAATTTCAGAGTTCAGAGTGTGCACATTGTGCCCGAAACATTTCATGCCCGTTTCAGTGCTAAATCTCGAACGTACCTATATCGTCTGGCTGTAAGGAATCCAGATGCTCCACCTATCAATGGAAATAGTTCCTGGATGGTAGAAATTCCATTCCTTGAATGGAACAGGTGCCATTTCATTCAGTAAGTAGCTACTGGTCACTTTGTAAATATAATAGAATAGTTGTGTAGGATATACTGCATTGAATGTGATGTTCGTAAAAGGCAGTAGACATGATTTTTTATGATGTACCAACAACTACTAAGAAAGCAGGTAAACCTGCTTAATTGCAGTTTCATCCACCCATATCCAGTTGTACTAGGTTCATGTTGATCATCCTAAAGTGGACAGATTTATAAGGTTAAAATTTTAAATGTATTAATTCAAAACAAACACACTTTATACCAATTGTAAAGTATGGAAACATGTTAGTTAGTATGGCATGAGACAGTATCATGTATTTGAAACAGAGTCTATGAAAGCTGACATATGCTAGTGTAGAACTTTCTCATTTTAAAATCCTGACCACGTTTTGGAGTCTTCAGTTTATTTCTTTCTGTTACTTGCCAGGAAGGTGGATAAATTTGATGTGTCACTGTTGAAAGCTGCAGCTGCTCTTTTTCCTGGCACAAAGGATTTTCGTACATTTATGGGAAACAAAGCCAAGCTTCCCCCAGACATCAGCACAGTTAAGGAAATGTATAGATTGGACATCACTCCTGGCACACCTTTGTTAGGTGCTGAATATTCTTCCTGCTGCTCATATTATACCTTCTGGGACATCACATGCCAAGCCAGATCATTCCTTTACAGACAAGTAATGTGAATTTGCTATGAACTAAAATTCTAATAACAATCTTTTTGTTTGCTATTGCTGTGTTTTACAAACTGCAGGTCACACTCAGTCAGTGAGTGGGTTACGTGAATTCATTGGGTCACGTGTATTAATATAATACAAAATCTTACATAAATAAATATTAGTACATTTTTTAAAATAGTGTCACTCATAGGGTCGCATGCATGACAACATGACGGGTTCTAGTTCAGTAGATTGGATTTATTAACACTTTGGTTACACACTCTTAATTACACTTAAATAGAGGCAATACAACGCTATCACTTTTATGCACACACTAGTATTCTCAGTCTCTACTAGTTGTCTCCTAGCAACATATCTCAGCACAGAAACTGGAATACAATATGACATTGAAATCAATTGCAGAATGATAATCTCAAAATGATTTTCTATCAGCACTGCTGGCAGAAATGTATTTTTGGACCACTTTGAAGCAATATAGTAATTTTGTTTCATACTTCTAATTCTTTAATATCAGTCCAGCAAATTTATGGTTGGACCTTATGTAATTACTTGGAACTGTAGCATAAAGCATATACTACATATGATGTATACATTACTCTATATCGCAGTTTTGTAATAGTTAAAATAGAAGTTTATGGTTGTCAGATTCCTGCCCTCGGTAGAACTGCTTTTATTAAATAACCCAAAAGGTTTCTTTTATTCGAGTGTTAAATTAAAAACCTCCAAATTTGGATCTCAGAAGTTTATTCCAATAATTTATTTTTCACGGTTGCTTCCTTTGTAAAGAGAGTCAGATATAATTCATATCTTTTCCTCGGTGGCGAGGAGCTGTATACAATCAGTCTTGTCAAATCCTGTTATCAGATACAGGTTTGGTACCTTGTTTTATGATTGTATACTACCAGTAAGATCTTGTGCAACAGGTACGGCGAATGGTTGGAGCACTTATTAGTGTTGCTGTGGGTCACATTTCCATTGAAGAGATCCGGTACATGTTGGAGAGCCCTTCAAAAAACAGTTGGAACAGCAGAATAAATGTTGTCCCACCATATGGTCTGTACTTGGTTGGTGTTGAATATGATCCTCTTGAAATTGTCATGCCACAAGAGATAAGTGAACAAGATCAGAAGAGGAATACAGCACTTCTTGGTCAAGTGGAATGAACATCAAGTTTTTTTTTAACATACTGATCAGTGCAAAGGCATAATCTAGTTTTAATCCTGTTGTTTCAAGAACTTTCAATGAAGTATTCAGTAGAACTAGAGGGTGAACTAAAATTAAAAGTTCATCTGTAATAGGATGTGTTGTATGACTTAAAATACAGCTGATTCTTGGACATTTAAATACAGAAACTTACTCTTTCGCCAAGTTATGTGATTTTGCTAGAAGACTTCAGTATAACCGGACAAATAACCAAATCTGATTTTAATGAATTTGATTTATCTACCGCGTGAAATGTGAATGTTAGAAATGAATCTTGCAGAAAAAATAAAAGCCCGTAAATCTTGCCTGAATTCCTGTGAAACCACGGTTACAACTGTATCAGGGCACAGTTACAAGGAGAAGATTCTAGCAGATGGAACTGTCATCACGTCACAGCCACAAGCTGGCACTTCTCCTGGTTATGTTGTCGACATGAAGCCAGACTTTCAGGTGGCCCTGGTGCTGCCTGGACTGTGCATGGGCTCACAGGATGTTACACAAAATAATGACATACTTAAAAAATATTCTATTACTCACATCTTGAGCTTAGGCATCAAGCCCATCATACTGGATGAAACACTCTCTCACATGTATATTCCAATTCTTGATCTTCCTGAAACTAACATTATGAGCAGCATAGATCAGTGTTTCACTTTTATAGATAATGCAATACAGACTGGAGAATGTGTTTTTGTACATTGCAATGCAGGCATTTCAAGGTCAGCAGCTGTGGTAATAGCATATCTCATGAGAAAAAAATGCATGAGCTATCAGGAGGCATTTCTCCACTTGAAGACAAGAAGAAGTGTAATTAATCCAAATCCTGGATTTGTCAAACAACTGAAAGACTATGAGAAAATTATAAAGACTCTGGATAGTGAGTAGCAACATTTTGTTACTGCAGGCAGAACTTCATTTATGAGAGTTGAGGTTCTCACATCAGTGAATATCAAGTCTTAGGGATGTGACACCATATACAAGGTGGAGCAGAAGAAACACATGTTCTTCACATAAGAATAACTTTGTTGATTTTCAAGATAAAACCTTTTTAATTGCATAAAAAAGAGGTATTTCAATACATTTTTAACTTATACTATGTACGGAAAATAATTTCAGTTAGATGACATCCTTTTTGCTGGACACACATTTGGAGCCTTTCCTCAAAATTCTGCATCGCATTCTCCAATATGTCTTCTGGCACAGCTGCGATTTCTTGACGAAGGGAAAGTTTCAGCTCGTGGGTTGTTCATGGTCTGTTCGTGTACACTCTTGCCTTGAGGTGTCCCCACAAAAGTCACAAACCGATAGCTCAGGGGCCAAGAAACATCACCGAAACGGGAGATCACACGTCGAACAACTTCCATCGATGCTCCTGCATCCAGAACTCCTAAGGCAGTGGGTAAACATGAGACAAATGTGGTTCCAACAGGATGGTGCCACAACTCACACGGCGAGACCTTCGATGGAAGATGTTTGATGCATGTTTCCCCAAACATGTGATCTCCTATTTCTTGGCTCCCACGCTCCCCTGATCTATCAGTTTGTGACCGTTTTGTGGGGATACCTCAAGGCAAGAGTGTACACGAATGACCCAAGAGCTGAAACTCTCCATTCATCAAGAAATCGCAGCTGTGCTGGAAGACATGTTGGAGAATGTGATGCAGAATTTTGAGGAGAGGCTCCAAATTTGTGACGTCATCTGACTGACATTATTTTCTGTATGTAATTTAAGTTAAAAATGCATTAAAATACCTTTTTTTGTGTAATTAGAAAGGTTTTATCTGAAAATCAACAAAGTTATTCTTATGTAAAGAACATGCATTTATATTCCCTACAGAATGGACAAACTGCAACTGAGTTACAATTTATATTCCCTATAGAACAGACAAATACAAGTACACTGTAAGATGAGGCACTGGCTAAACAATTAACTTCAGTACTATACTACATCCATACCACGGGCCTCCAAAGCAGTTTATTACATGTACATAAAATCTAGAATATATCATTATATCCGCGGGAATATAACATAATTGCAACAACCAACAACTGACTTGATGATGTAAAACATAACATGAAGAGTCTTAACTTTGTTTCACCCCATAACTTCCGTTTTTTATATAGTCTAGTTGATTGTACTTTTATGCCAAGCATTTTATAATGTAATAATTATCATGTATCCAGTTTTACCAGTACTACAGTTCAGTGGAGTGTTTGCCTGATGATGGCTTTAATAGCCGAAACATGTAGCTGAGCCAGTCTTGGCCTTGACCTTGATATTGTTGTGTTGTGACAGATTTTAATAAAGAAATTGTATATTATAACACAACAGGGTGCAAGAAATGAAAAAGAAAACAAAAATGTGCGTATTGTTCATGTCACAGCCTAAAATACAGTGAGCTACTACACTGTATTTTCATTTACTTTAAATGCTTTGCTTCCATCCACATCATGGGATTAAAAAAGAACTATTTTCTCCTTTCAGACTGGTCCCTTATGTCCTTATTCTATCATGTGAAGCCTTTATACTGTTGTTATGTTTCATTTGAGTACCATCTTCCTGTCACCATCTGTTCAATTATTTTATTAATCTGTATTGCATTTCTTATCCCCTCCACACTATAAAACTGCCATCTATTCTCCTTCCATTGTGATGAAACATCTCGACCGTTTTTGCATTACAAATCCCATTTTCAGAGTTACATCATTCCACCAAACTAATCACAGCACACAAAAGGAAAGTACAATATAAATATGGACCTGTACAATAATTGTGCTATCTTACATCTCGGGTACAGTGAAACTTCATTGCAGTATTTCCTGCATATAATGTTTCAGTTCATGTTCCGTGTGAATAATTCTTAATATCTAGATCCCATTTAACTTTTCTCCCAATTTTAAAGGCATGATGGTTCTGTTGTGGTGTAATGTTCATTTAGCAAGTTTTCCTTAAGACACATGAAGATGTATTCATTATTTCTTTCAGATTTTAACCAAAACTGGGATGTAAATAAAAAATAAAGTTAAAAAGAATATAAAAATGCAGAATCTAAATAACAACTCAAGAAAAATAATACAAAATAATAATCTTACTGACAGATTTTTTTAAAAACCCATTCAGCATTTCTCTAATACTTTTATGCATACTTAATAGATACTCTACGGGCCTGTGAATGCACCCAAGAAGAGTGCTTTCTGTACAAGAATGGTGGGATTCAGGCATGTATACATGCTGTCAAGTAACTTTCAGCCCTTTATTACAAAATGTAGTTCCTTACACATTAATCAAAATTCTCTTTCTAATGCAAATCATTCTAAAGTTTCATTGTACAGAAATATGCTTGGCACTGGAATGTATTCAGCAGTTGTTATATTCAACAAAAATACAATTTACAGTCTTTGATGAACATAATTCTGTTCACTTAATTACAATAATATGTAAAAAGGCAACTTTTCAATTTCCTACCTGATTTGAATTTTGCACTGAACTATAGTATTTTTGTCACTGTTGGTAACTACATACATACAATCACATGTGATGGCAATATAAAATGAGCTCTATGATAGAGAAATCAGTAAAAATGTAAACAAACCACCCATCGGAATGGTATATCCAGGTTTAATCTGAAAAACCTGGCAAAGCAATAAACATAAAAGAGGAAGTATCTGACAGAAAACTGCTTGGAATTGGATGCTGACTACTGTTTGTGCTAAAATCTTATCAATGTCAACAGTTCCTTGCTGTGCTAAGTGTTCACCCTTTTCTCAAATACCAAATTTTATATCAATTTAATATAATGTAAATTACTTAGGAACTTAATCACTGATAGAAAGCTACTGCAGGACACAGTATACTGAGGGATTTAAATGCCCTTGCTGATGGGTTGAAAGTCCATAAATATACACAAAACATACAAAAAAAGATACTGATAGTTTTGTTCAAATGTGCCCCATCTCTCCTATCTAGTATTCTGATCCATCAAATAGCATCATTGTATGACTTTTAGGCTTTTGTAATTTTTTTCACAGTAAAGTTCATTTTACTGTCCTACCCAGATAGGTATGAGGGTAATGTCCCTACGCTTAATTACGCACCACACTATGAAGATATCAACCGAGCACTAGATGGAGGTGAGTGGTCTCTTCATGTCCCAGCCATTTTAATCCCAGGGGAAAAGCCCTTTATACGCACTGGAAGAAGGTTGGGTGGGCCTCAGAGCCAGTCTAGATGATATGAAGAAGATAAAAACATTATTCTCATGGTGTATATATCATATTTCACACAATTAAAATTTGTAATCTATGTTACCATTTTACTACCGCATGTGAACCATTATGTTTTCAATTTAAAAATAATCATATAACAAAGACAAAACTCTGTCCAGTGTAACTATTGAAGTTTTTACTACTTGAAAACTTGAACACCCTTACATGTTTCGGTCCCTATAGACCATCATCAGAGGGACACTGATACTTTTTGGAAACTACTATCACAATGGGTGTTTTGAGTGTTAAAATACATATACATACAATGTCTGTAATGCACAATATATACAAAATCCAACTTTTCCACAACTACAGCAGCTTTCTTGGTATATTAAAGTTTTTAAAACTTTGTTATTTAAGTTAAAATTTATAAACCAAATAGGTTCGTGTCCCTTCTCCCATCATCTTTCTTGACTGGGGGCTGAACTTGTGCCACCTGTCTATCTTGAGAGGGAGATTCTTGGTATCATCTTGTATTTGTTTGTGGTGTTCTGTGTTGTTTGTGATAGTAGTTTCCAAAACGTATCGATGTCCATCTGATGATGGTCTATAGGGACCGAAACATGTAAGGGTGTTAAGTTTCCAAGCAGTAAAAACTTCAATAGTCACACTTGACGGAGTTGTTCTGTCTTTGTAATTTGTTAGTGTGATGGACCAGAATGAAACAAATCATAATCATATTCCGTGGCTGCTTTGTTGTAAGTCATATAAAGTGTTGAATCTGCAGAGTACAATCCAATTAAACAAGTCTTCTATACTGGTTTCAAAACACTGCATTCTATAAATACTTTATATAAGATAAATTCAAATATATGTATGTATATATTTTACAATGAAACAGAATAACTGACAAAAATACTGTCTTGTACCACCACCAATTCAGCCAGACTAAAATAAGTTCACAGAAAATCTGCTTCCTTCTGTACTTACATGTAATTTATTTATAAAGGAGGCTTTATTTGTTCCCTGAACTCACAGGACAGATATTATAGTTCAGTGCTCAAATCAAGATTCCCAGGTATGAAACAATAAATGCCATACAAAAGATAAGTACAATTGAATTTACAAATATATATTTTCAGGTCCCCTCTAGTATTAGTAACTAATGTGTAATATATCATATATAAAATATGTAATAAAAATATGATTCTTTCACTTATGCTGAATTGCTGCATGTATTCACAAATTTTTAAGTACCAACTGCTCACTTTATAATTGCAAATATATTTAAAAAAATAAATAATCAGATATGTTGTGTTTTAGTACAATATAGTAAAGTAGGTTGTTTACAGATTTGTTGTTTCAAGTGTTTCAATATTAAGATCAAAATGTTGCATCACACAGCTGAAAATGATAAATACACTGCACACAAATGATCAACTAGAAATGGTATTTTACAATCATTCTTTGTTATCTGGTGTGTAATGTTTGAGAAGGCATGGTCCCACAGAATCTTAAGCAGTCCAATCAAAGGATGGAGTTGCTGGATCAACAGGGATATCACCCATTACAAGTTCACATTTAATTATATCACAAATAAGCATCTTCACAGCAACACACTTCAGTGCCTGCAATAAGCTGACAGAAACACCCTCAACACTGGCATCAGCCACCCTGCTTTGTACCCGCTGATTTGTACATTTTTTCTGGAATGAAAGTCATCTCACAATGGTGCATCAATATCAAGAGGACTATGAATAAATACAGTACCAAGCAATGATATACCAACTGGAAGAACTGTGTGGTAGCAGAAGGGCTGTAATTCAAATGAGATATGGTGTAAAATAATGTCACATAAAATAAATAAATTAGATAAATAAATACACAGTGAAGTGTGGAATCTGGTTCTGCTACATATGCATATTTCCCACACCATTTATTCAATGCACAATGTTTCTAGCATGTATCAGTTTCAGCTGTGTAATATCCCACATTTCTAGCATAGCTTGCAAATCTAATTAATAGAACATTCTCTAGATCAATGTTTCTTACAAGGCCAATACATTACTATTTATGTTAAACAATATTCTTAACCTAGGTATATGGCAGATATTTAGAAAGAATTTCCATAGCAATGCTTTAAAATCTCTTTCAAATAAGCACACTGATTTTTTTCCCACCTGCCTTTTATAAAGAAATGTAGCATTATGATACAATGTCAATGTGTCTGCTTCTCCCTTGCCACTGACATTTTTGAATGAATTCAAGGACCTTACTTTTGAAAACTGGTATGAACATCCTGCCACTAGAAGCCTGTCCACTTTTGTAATAATAATTATTTTTATTTAACATTCATCACAGTTACAAATTGTAACTCTTGAACAAGTCACATACATATACAACTTTTCCAGTCTAATTGGCCTCCTGCCCAATTGATTGAACATCATCATATACTAATGTACTAATTCTACCATCAATAATACCAATTTGGCAGCTCTGAGGTGGGAGGAATACTAGCAGTACTTAATGTAAGACCTGAAATTTTGTAATAGATCATACAGAACTATGCAACTTTTGTCAGGGAAATTCTAGTACAAAGAATGTGACATAACAGCCATTCAGAATCTATATTTAGCTTTCTAACTGATAGTAATAATTAATAAACAACTGGAACTAGGCATATGGAATTTTATATGGAGATAATACAAATTATATACCAAATATATTTTTATATATTAGCACCTACCAACTTGATGTATTTAACACTACATCTGAACTAATGGAAGTTATGTATGGAAACAGCTTTCTAAATTATGCAAACATTCATACACACTTGCTAGCCTCCTTAACTGAAGCATCTGAAAGACTGTTAGTATCACATGTTCTTCCCAAATTTTGTGTTTCCACTTACACAGACTGAAAATGAAGTTCATACTTCTGAATTATGCTAAACAGAAACAGAGCAACAGTGAGTCAATATGGGAGCTGTACATGACCCAACATTTCAAAATCACTTTCTGTACTGTACTACATTACACCCATTACTGATATGTCTATTTCTGTTCCTCAGAATCTTTGCATTTTAAAAACATTGTATGTGCATAACACCTATAAAAATGTTATTCTCTGCATGCAACAGTAACAGCGAAGCACTGATCGAGAGCAGTTCTATAGCTTTTGCCAAGTGTGTAACATTATTTATTTATACAGCACTAATAATAAATAGGATTCAGACAACAGAAATAACCTATTTATATTAACAAATGGTATTTTCACAACAACAAAATCTTTTATACAAATGTAGATATGTGTAAAATCATTTACTATTATAAAAACCAACACTTGGAAGATGGCTCCTATTCCAAAGCTCCCATGTGGACATAATCCCTGGAAGATTGCCTTTCTTAACATTGCTCCTTCACCAAATACCACACACCAAATTATGCATATTCCCATAGTCTTATACTGAAAATACGAGTTACATTATTTATATTTCCATTTTTACATTAATAAATATAGCTGAATGTTCATCCAACATGAAGACAATTTAAACATTAGGAATGACTGCTGTCTATTAATTCTTTCTCATGTATACTTATAAAAGATGCAGACAGCAAAAAATTGAGTAAATCAATGAAAAGATACTCTGAGCTACTGTAGTTACCCAAACTCAGACTTCTTTTGGGAGGTGGCTAGCTTTGCTGAGACTTTCCATTTTAAAGTCGTGAATTATATATGTAACTGAAGATTATTTATTTTGATCAAACATTTAATTTCCCACAAACCAGTGTCTCATAAGAACATGACCAAAAAACAAGACATCAGTATACTGAAACCGATGAAAAATTTCAATGTCAGTCCTTAACAAACAGGACTTGCTCATGAAATCCTTGATTACATAACCTAAAGGCTTAGCACTGTAATAATCGAATCAGTCCAGTTCACAACATACTTCCTTAATAGCAGTTTTAACAATTGGTTTTATTTCACATATTTCATCCATGCAATTCCATATAACTTCCTGTTAGGAAAAATAGTTCCTGGAAAACTTACTTTGTTCCTCCTTCCTAACCAGCCAGACTACATTAACAGCTTTCATATCCAAAAGCATAAAATTTCCAATTAACATCTTACAATGCTTGAACAAATATTTTATTAAAACAGTACCCTCATATATTACCACTGGACTAAAATGTAATTAATGTTGGGAGTTCCATGTGCTTAAATTCATAGGAATCAATATATAAACTACATGAATGTCGAATGACATACATTTCATTTTTTCCTAACAGCCAACTGAAATATGTTCACAAACTGCAACAGATGGAGTCAAGTTTGTCAGTACTTTTGAATAACTATGAGCTATTTGTTGCTATCATGAAATTACACAATAAAAAGGTATGCTGGATTGATATCCTCCCCCCTCCTCCTTTGATGGGTTATTTAACAACAGTTTCAGTATTGAGACTGTTCATATCAATATTGAATTTTGTCCCCAATACATTTTATTAATTTATCAACACTGACAGCCACAGTAATTTATGGAACTATTAAACATGTTCAGTTTAATTTATACAGAAACCTGAATCTGTACATTATTCTTTCATATATATGTCAAACATTTTGTGCCCGAAGACCCTTCTTGATATCAGCAAACTGTATTATTTTGACAGGAACATGCACTGTATGAAAGCCTGGCAGCAGCAGTCATCTTCTACACAGGACAGCTCAGTCCAAGGAACATTATGTATTCAAAATCAGCAACCCACAAAATTATAAATTATCTTAAAATATCAACCAAGTTGACAGAGTTGTCAGCCTTATAGTCTCCTAGACTAAAGAATTTCAGGGATGCGGTTACATCAAACAGAACAAGTTACCTACCTATTTTCAATAGAGCCCTGATCATGTATTTTACACACACCTTGTAGACCTACCAGTCCCTACATGGCACACCCCACTATGAAGCCAACACGAGCATCAAACAAGTGATATCAAAGCAACAACTTCTACTTCCTCCATCATCTAAATTACACTATTCACTTTGTATGTGAAAGTGCTACCTACCAACACAGAAGAAGGGGGTGTGTACTCACAAACCATTACACTAGTAAAGAGACTGTGCAAGAAGCTATGTAAACCAATAAACATTGTGAAATATTATGTTGTTCCCATATGGTAAAAAGGTAAAGTTGTCCCTGCGTGCTTAATTATCTAAGCACTATGCCATGAAGACAAATGGGGGAGTGGAGGTACAGCACCACCATACTTGACCTTGGCACTAGATGGTGGTGAGTGGTCAGCTTCACAGCCCTGCTGCTTTAACCTAACAATCAGCTCACAGGTAGTGGTGAGGATGTCAACCTTACGCGCCAACCACCCTTTACACCCAGGAAAATTCCTGGTACTCATTTCTGTTAAAGGCTGAGTCAACCCCAAGGCCATAGTGTGGCTGGAAGGATCAGGTCAATCGAAAAGTCCAATGACCTCATTGGGAATTGAACCTGTGACCTTCTGGCTTATAGCATAGTCCCTTAACCAACTACGCTACCACATACCCCCCATTATGTTAAAAATAATCTGTTATTGTCAGTGCAGCACCTCTGTCAAATATCCTACATATTGGGTGTCTTACTGTATTCAGTACAGTAGAATTCATATTGTGGCATGTAGACCCATTGCCAGGCAATGACCGTGAAACAAAAAATATAAAACAGTCATTGCTATGTAGCAGCTCCACCAACAGACACAAATGCAACAATTCCATGGCAACAAAAGGAGACAATAATAGTGGGAAGTGGTGTTTTCTACGGGGTCCATGTCGAGATGTTATAAGCAGAACAAGTTATTGAGGAGTTGCTGTGCTGTGACAATGCAGATATATTAATGGTGAAACTATAGTGCAAAAAAAGTAGCACTTATATAGAAAGATGCGCCCCTCCTTCATCAAAGGAGAGGCCCCATTTTGAAACACATACATGTCTAGGACATAATAAAAATCTTGGTCATGGATACTGAGGAGACTGGGGCCATGAAAAACTACTGGCAAATGCCAGCAGCAATTTAACCAACCAACTGATTGAGAAGTTGCCAGTTCGTCAGTGAGTTAGATAACTGCTGGGGTTCAGCTGTTGTGAGCTGTTGCTGTTAGAAGCTGGTAGCTGAGGGCTGGGATAGTTCAGGAAGCCAGGGGAAGGGAACATCTGCTGTTGGAGAAAAGCCATGCCACATAGTGACACACTAGTGTTATTTATGTTTTACCAGTATTTTCAGTTAGTACATGCCAGTATGCACTGACAAACAGTTGATATATATTGGGTAAACCATCACATAACTGGCAGTGCAATGTGTTTCAGCCTTCAGGCTACAGCTGAATATGGGAGAAACAGCAAACATATTTTCAGGAAGAGAAGCAGCATTTTACATTGGACTTTCTTCATCTCATGTTTTATGTGATCTTTATACTACATTAAAAGATTCTGTATAGTTAAGAAGTAATTTTACTGCAGTAAATATGATTTTAATACCTTAAGAACTGCCAGTTACATTATTTGCAAATCAGAAAAATTTGCACATGATCAGACCAATTTTCTTTCAAATTTATAACTGGAATAAAGAGGGAACACAAAATATGTGATGTTATGAATAAGGTTTGCAACGGTTTATGAAATATAATAAAAAATTAGATTTCATATTTGCAGCTTTATACCAACATAAAATCTTACTCAGACTTTTAACTGCTGTGTCAGATAATGTTTCCAACACATGTGTCATACATGCTGCACAGGAAACAATTTTTAGGAACTGTACGTGGGTCCCATTAAATTTTCATAGACTGAATCACATAGAGCAGGAAATGTGTGTGCAAAGAAATAAAACCAATTATTTACTGGAAAAAGTATGGAACAAAGAATGGCTTCAGCTTTGGCTTTTTATTGTGATACCACATAGATGGCAATGAATTTCTCAATCACACTGTATGAGTAAAAAGTGATGAAACCTGGGTCTCATTTGTGAATAAAAACCAAAGAGCAGTTAAAGTAGTGGATGCATAGACATTCACAAAACAAGCCCAAAAGCTTAAACAAACGCTTTCTAGAAAGCTGATGGCAAATGTTTTCTGGGACAGGACACAAAAGGAGTATTGAAGTTGAAATTCATGTAATGAGGCCACATTAATGCCAGGAATGTATTGCAAAACACAGAGGGCCTTTCAGAATGAAAGCTGTGGACTGCTGACATGGTGTAGTGCTCCTCCATGGCATTATACAGCTGCTCACACTTGAGCACTGCTGGAACATTTCAACTGGGAGTTGTTTGACCACACTCCTTACAGCCCTCATCTTGCTCCTAGTGATTACTGCCTCTTTTACCTTCCTGAAGACCTGTTTAGGACCACAGTGCTTCAAAAGTAATGAGGAGCTGCTGGAAGGTATCAAAACATGGCTCAGTCACAGGTGGCAGACTTCTCTGACAAAGGCATACAAAAATGTATTTCATGACAAAAGTGCCTCATTTCCAGCAATGACTATGTTGAGAAGTGGCTTAAGTATGTATGTATTTCTTGTATATAATAAAATTCTTTCTCTCATTGCTTGTTTTGTTACAGCTCAGCAGAGGTTACCTACTGAATATCCCTTGTATAATATTCTTCCATCCATGTCTTAGTCTTTTTAAGAGGTCTCTTCCATTCAGATTTTCTGCCTAAAATTTTGTATGCCTTTTTTCTCTCCAAGCCAGCTTCACAATTAAAAATGCCCATCGCAGCATGTCTGCAATACAGTGGTATCTGCTCTTTACTGTATTAAATCCACTGTTCCCTCCAAAAAATAATCTTAAATTGGAGTTTCATTCAATTATGTTATAACATAGGTCTGCCTGATCTTATGAGACAACAGGATTATGTTCCGATCTTGGTACATGACCCACTAAATCTTTAACTTAGTTTCATACTGCAGTTCTAAGACTTGCTCCTCTGGCTGGAAGAGAGTTGCTTTTGGCTGGGATCTCTCTGGAATGTGAATGTGCCACTACTATGGACAAACATTGGACCCACTCCTCAGCGTTCTTCCCATCTTTCGGTTTAAGGATAAGTGACTGGTCCCCTGTGAAGATCTCAAATGCCTTAGGAATGTTCCTGGCACCTCGGCTCACCTTCACACTGCGGATCTGATTCACCTCAATTGGAGTCATGTCTTTGTCATCTTTCTGGAAAAAAAAAAAAAAAAAAAAAGAAGTCACAGAGAACATGGCTTCAGAGGCTAACTGAAAATGCTTTTAACGCTGAAACCTTTTTTTTTTAGCAAGACAGCTGCTGATGTTAATACTGGCAGATGGACAACAATAAAATACTTTGAGACTGAATGCTTGACCAATTAATGGTATACTTAATGTATACATGCTCAAATCGCTACATCAAGTAGACCAACACTGCATCTCCTTGATGTATATTTTGATAACTACGTCCTTTTTTTATGAACTCATTACGAAAATATTATGCAAATTAATCTACTACCCACTATTTTTTAAAGTTACATTTTGTCACTTCTTTGAAAATCTAGGTAAGATGAGTAACAAATCCATAGCAACTTAGCCTCACTCCAGTGTGTTATACAAGCATGCAAATTCCTTATTTTTGTGGGCTTTTATATACTGTTTTGGTGAAACTCAATTAGTGTTTCAACACAGAGTCTCATGGAAATCTATATAAATAAAAATGTAACTGTTGGTTTGGCTCTCCTCGAAGATCTCCGAAAGTTCTTCACCGATTGCCTCAAAATTTTGACACAACGTTGCATTTGAACACACGCGTTTTTATATGCCTATTATGTAGATGTCACACCCATGACAGGTAAAAACAGGTAAAATATTAACTGTATTCAATATTAATATACTGTAACGTTATACATCAAATACCAACAGATCGTTGCCTAGGAATAACTGTGGCAACGAACTGTTGAAACAGCGGGTCGTTGCCTAGGAATAACCATGGCAACGAACTGTTGAAACAGCGGGTTGTTGCCTTGGAATAACCGTGGCAATGAACTGTTGAAACGGCGGGTCGTTGCCTTGGGATAACCATCACAACGAACTGTTGAAACAGCACATCGTTGCCTTGGAATAACCGTGGCAACGAACTGTTGAAACAGCGGAAATAATGCATTTCTGCGGCAACGAGCACAGAAGACGTGAAATGGAACCCTCGGCAAAAGTGCCCTCTATTGCGCCCGAAACCGGGTTATAATAGTCCAGCTCCGAAGAAATTTTCGGTGATACTGGACGTGATAATAATTGTGCTCGCTGGTGTAAAAGGGAGCGTTCAATAACTTATTCGCTGAATCCGAGACGTGCGTGGAAGTTATTTCGTAAGTATAGTTTATTTTTCGTTGTTTTTCTTTTCGTTTTCTAAGAACAAGCTTAGGTTGTCGTACTCGCAGAGCGGAAGCAATGCGTCGAGTAATTTCAAATCAAACTGGGGAAGAACCGGCAGGCTGAGCCACAGCAAGGCGTGGCCGGGCACAGCTAGTATGTCATAAATGTCTTAATAATCCTGATTCATTTTGTACGTGTGTGGGGAATTAACATTAAAATCCCCAAAACAAATCATAACTACATTATAGAAGGGCTACGGATTACATTTTGTATGTAAATTAGGAGATCATAACAAGAGGTAAGCTCCCCCATAGTTGTAGTTCGTGTAGTAGCAAATTAATGAGTTAACATTCATATTTGTTTCCTGCTGTTCCCATGGTATGGAAGGAGCAAAAGGCTCATGCCAGTGATGGTTGCTTTTGTCTGACAAATATATCTCTGTGTTTCATTCAAAGTCAAAACATTCCACACAGTACACAAACCTAGAACAGCCATATGAAGAGCACATCATAAGAATTTACCAGTACCTAACATATTGTAACACGTTTGGAGTAGATACTTCCGTGGTAACGCAATAACAGTGAGCCATTGCGCAGGAATTGCAGAATCAACAAACGCGTTTTCCCAGAGATGGAAGGTTTGTTGTGTAACAACGAATTGTTAAAAGCATTGAATATGGTGTTCGCTAAGCGGTTTGAAAAACCCCTATATAATGGGTTGAAGGCATTCACCGAGACAGTTCAATTCTAGCGACTGTCAAAAACAGTGAAGTTCCACTGTCGAGCATAGTCGAAGACTAGCATTCGCTGAGTGAAGTCGAGAATCGACTACGGTAGAAGGAGTAATTGTGACACTGTAAAGTGTATGAGGGAGTAAAAGTGAGTGTTCAATAAATATTCGCTAAATCCGAGACCCATTTGAAGTTATTTGTCGCGCTGCATAGGCAACATGCAACAATATGATTGAATGGACTTTGGAGAAAGAAGAATCTAGCAGTAACTTTCACAATGAACTGTCAACTTCTCAAAAATTTATGCATCCAAAATTTCAGTCATTTAAATGAATGGCACCTCATTTATTTCACAGAGAGGAATAATTCCGTTACAGACACAGATCTCTAAAATAATCACGTGGAGCTTCTAGGATCTAGATTACAAGAGTGCAGTTGCATAGAAAAGAGAACTAAGATAAGTTTGTTTCATAACTACCATATATATGTATTAATGTTTTCATATGTGACAGATCTAAGTGGAGATCTAATATTTTCAATTATGTAAATGGACTTGTAGGTATTCTAGGCTGAGAACACAGTCCAGATGCACAGCATTTGTTTATACATCATCAAAGAAATATGAAGACAGTACTTAAACAACTGAAATGTTTCCCTGTCTCTATGAGTCACATATGCTGTTTACGAGGGAATCTTATAGTAACAATCAGTTGCTTTTAAAGGGTGTTTGTTAATTATGACAAATATGCATGAAATATCTGCTGTGACCTGAAATTCTAGCATTCCATTAGGGGTGCAATTAGGATACATGATGTGGTACAGCATTCTACGAGAGGTCAAAAGACAGCCATTATAACGTTAAAGACTGAACTCTTGGGGAAGTTTACTTCCAGAACAGAAAAAATCAACTAAATGTAAACCCAGCAAACTCTTCTCCTGTCACCATTTCACATTAAGTTAGGATTGAGGAAAATTCTGTCAAATCTCTTCATTTAATTCTATTTAGTATAGATCAAAGAAGGTATTTTTATTGGCCAGCATATAAGGCATGGATGAGAGAAACTTTCCTGACAGCTTAAACAATACTATAATAGCAGCAAGGAATGCATACAGAGTGTTAGTGCTGACTTCTTACTATATGTTAAAGTTAATAATTATGTTGCACAAAGGAAGCTCCATATTTTTCAAGATATATTTTCTTCATTCATATCCAAACTTCTTTCCATTTTGAGTGCTGTCAGTGATGGGCATACAGAAAGGTTCCACCAAGATATACCTGAGATGTTACAAGCAAAGGCGAAATTCAAGCATGCTGGCTAACTACTTTCAGTCTCTCATTGGAGAAGCTACAGAAAGTTGAGATATAAACTCAGTGCATCTCAGTGTACTGGAATCACCTATTTTCATTCTGCAGGGCAGTCTTATTTGTTGTATAAGATAATATATGTGCCTATTCAAATGAAGACCACTTCAGTTTAATTAAATCTCTGAAACATGGCATTTCAAGGTTAAAATTTCACTATATTATCATCAGTTATTTATTACTGCCAACTATCATCAATATCACCAATACAAAATCTTTCAATAAGTTGTCCTTACAGAACCCTTATATGATAGATGTGCTCCCGACAATGTGAAGTATCTTGTTCTCCAACGTTTGAAGATCTTCCAGCGCCCCTTCTTCTCCTTTAGTTGTCCTTCAATAACAGGCTGACTATCCTGTAAGAACCCCACAGCTCTTTCAGGATGGTTACACAGGAAACAGCCCCACTGAGCTCCTCCACTTGGCCCTGGGGTCCCAGTTGCTTCAAAGACATCAAAGAAACCGCTGTGACGTAGCTCATTCAGCAGAGACTCTTGGTCCTGAAAATTATGAACCAGTTACTCATTGTACTTGTAGAACAAATCAGTTCGCTATCTGTATTTTTAGTGGAAGAACATCCATTTCCAGAAATTAAAATGAATGATATAAAGGGCTATGAAAATGTAAAACGTAAGTAAAGTTGTCCCTGAGCTTAATTAATTAAGAACTATACTATGAAGACGTATAGGGGAGTGGATGTTTAAATCCACATTTTCTTGACCTCAGCATTAGTTGGAGGTGAATAGTCAGCTTCATTCCCTCCAGGAAAGAGCCCCCATTACCCTTGAATAGGAGGCTGGGTGGGCCCCAGAGCTGGTCTGGACAACATGGAGAAGAGAAAATTCTTCACCCTACCAGGACTCGAACTCCAACTTCTTGGCTAGTCCAGCCCATAGCCAGTCACTATATTGACTACACTATCCCAGCTACCTCTATGAAAGAGTACATAATGTAAGTATTAATCTGAATAATTGTTGGGTCTTGCTGTGTTCACTGTATGTGCACATTTACAGTTACTGAAATAAGTGCTAGTCAGTTATTTTGTGCTGTAACAGTTGCTGAGATGATCTTGTTCTAAATGAGATTTGCTAAGAATGATAAATTGGGAGGAAACAATCATGGCTTGCTTTTAAATTACTAACTTGACAACCTGACTTGAGGGACTGAAAAAAAAAATCATGAAAGCTGGTCCCTAGACAGAAATTGAACTGGGTACATTGAAAATGGTTTCCCACCTAAAAAGTTAAAATCATAAGGTCTCAAAAGTAATACCACAAGAATAATTATTTATATCTTGTTTAAAACGTTTCCCAAATAAGATCTACTGTCTAAGAAGAGCAGTTTTAAAGACAGCTATCCAAACGGTTTACTTTTTAACAAGTTTCTGTTTTCTCTCTCTCTCTCTCTCACACACACACACACACACATGCACACACACGCATGAGGTCTGACATTAAAGTTAGTGAACTCGCCACTGTGTTCTTACTGTGGCAACAGTGGAAAGAAACCTCAGTATGGTTTGATGACATTGGCATATCAGCATTTCACAGCTGTGTTGTTGTTGTTGACTTATGGCAGTATCTTTCTGAGTCATGTCTATTATTGTCTGAGTGTTTTAGTGTGTTGTCAACAACAACTCATGGATCTTGCAGCATGACAGTGCACTTGATCACACAGCACTGTCTGTGAAAGAGTTTTTTGCTAGTAAACAAATAACTGTGCTGGAACACCCTACCTATTTGGCAGATATAGCCCCTAATGACTTTTTCTGTTCCTGAAGATAAAGAAAATATTGAAAGGAAGGCATTTTGATGACAATGATGACATCAGGAGTAATATGACTGCAGCTCTGAAGGCCATTCCATAAAACCAGTTCCAAAATTGTTATGAAGGGTGGACTAGTAGCTGGCATCAGTGCATAGCTTCCCAAGGGGAGCAATTTGAAGGCAACCACAGTGATATTCAGCAATGAGGTATACAGTACTTTTACCGTGATGAGTCCGTGAACTTTACTGTCTGGCCACATACATACATTACATACATCGTATATACAAAACGAATAAGAAACAATGTAGATGCTGACATAAATTAACCTTTAACATACAGATTTTTAAATTGCCGGGAGCCCAATGCGACCAGAATTTAAATCGCCCTAATTAATTAACATTGCAAACTTTCAGTAAAAACTACATATTTACCATTCTATGCAACATAGAAATGCGAACTAAAAACAACCTAAAAGACAATAAAATTTTCTACAATTTTTACAAACGAATATAAACTGTGATTATTTTGTCATGAAATGCAAAATATAATCTTTATTATGTTATGAAATGCCAGAGGACTTACCTGTAGTTTTTCTTTCAACTTGAGACTTGCTGATATTGTAAATATAATCACACTATATACAATAATATTTTGTTCAGACTGTATGCGAGATTGAACTGCGTCACTTCACAGTTTACGATACCTCACACTCTTGACGCGCGTGCCACTTCTTGAAGCAGCCCTCGACACACAGCAGAACATCACACTTTTTGCAATAGAAAATGGTGCTCCTGCTTTTCTTATTTAGCAAAACACACAACAACATCTTTGTTTCCCTTTGGTTCGCCAGTGTTGTGAATGTTTCACCTCCAGTCAACTCAGTTGGGCCCCAGATAACCTTGGCCTCCCCCAAGAAATGCCACTGACTGATATTCGCCTTGTGCAATTGAAGAATCATTTTGAAGGGGGGTTTCCAGCAAAATTGAATAAATTATGTTGATTGACAAAGCGGCACTCTCACCTGTTAGTAATACTCACAAAATAGTGATGCAAAGTAATTATAATAATACTAGTCGAAAAGAGTGCCAGTCCGACACTGATACTGAAAGTCGCAGTGGCGAAGATGCCTTTTACTCGCAAAGTAAAAGTGGCTCAGTAGGTTTATACCTCTTCCAAGACACAAAATAAAAATGATATACATAGAAATATTAGACAGTCCGACACTGACTTCCTAACTGATAATTCACCACTGGAAACCAATCCTTGAATGTGTCACACTTCCTTGAAGGCTCTGGAAGCACTCATCTGAGAAGTGGATGAAGGGATTTTTAAATGCAATGCAGTTATGAAATGTGGATTGCTAACATCAGCTGTATCTACATATCTACTGAAATAAAATAATGGTATAAATCTAAAGATTAACATTTGTAATTTGTTTTACATGGTTGTGAAATTTGGTTCCTCACTCTAAGAAGAAAATACAATGACGGTGTTTGAGAACACCGTACTTTAGGCATTATTTGGACCTAATAAACAGGAGGATCCAGTAGACTGCTTACTGAGGACAACCATTTGTACTTTATGCCTAATATCCTTAGGGTGATCGAAAGATGAGGCAGGCAGGGCATATAGGGATAGACATAAATGGGTACAAAACTGTGGTCAGAGGACCTCGTAGAAAGAGACTAGTTGGAAGACTGAGAAAGAGATGTGAGAATAACAAAATGGACCTTAGAGCTGGATATAAGGTGTAAATGGACAAAATTCAACAAACTCGCATGGTCTGGTAGAAGGCCTCCAGGTTCCATAACAGCACAGAATTTCTTTACCAACTGAACACCTGCCGACTTTTCAAGGAATATTTTGCACCATGGAATTAGACAGCTAGCTTGCATAGTGGTAATGGTTTCACTAATGATCAAGTTCATACACTTACTTCAGTGAAACATATAACTATTATAACATACACATGACATGAAGTTTCATACATAAACAAGTTTCTCAAAATCCCTTCCACTCTGGGCAAGGGAACGAGGGAATAAATTACTCAACTGACCTTAGCACATGGAAATGCTGATGTGACGAGAGTCAGGAATGTTTTGTTTTCACATTTTAGTATATCCCAGCAATTCTTTAAACTGCTTACAGAAGAATCTCTTGAGCTCAGTGCAGACTCAGACCGTGCCTGCAAAATAATTTCAGAAATACAGTCTACTTTTGCTGTCTGCCATGTACAAAGATAAGAGAAAGAACAAGTTTTGATAAAGTAGTCACACAGCAGCTAGATATATTTAATTCTTCTACAAAATGGCCAAGCATTTGGTCCAATGATACACACAAGTTTCCCTATTCAATTAGTATAAAATATTTTTGGTTGCTCCTTCAGTCATTCTTGCAATGTTTCTTTCCACAACTTGCTCATTTCTGATGTAATTTTATCAATGCCAAATTTTCAGTTGTTCCTGTCAATCTGATCTGCTCTTTAATCTCCACATATGTTACAGTTGAATGCCTAGAACACACATCATCAAAAATGCCTGTCCCTCTGCCTTTGAATATTCCCATTTATTTGCACATTTGCCTCTGGTTCATACAATTACCACGATAATAAACTGCCATTCTTATAAAATTTCAAAAGTTTTAACACATTCTCTTCATAAAAGCTGATTATGTTGTTGACCTTCTTTTGTATATTCTATCAATGAAGCAGAGTTATCACTAATCATACGACATTGAAAACCAACAAGATGCAAATGAGGGAAGGTTAATATTATTTATATGTGCCTTCTTTTACAGTGCTACCACCTTCACTCTTGAAGTACTGTAGGTAAGCATGAAGTCTGCTCCCATAAGAGGGGGCAGCAGTCATCACTATTAGCTGGCTCAAAAGCATTGCCTAGCAGTCTCTTCTTAGTATTATACTGGAAGATTATTTCTATCACCGTAGATTTGTTTCAAGATATCTCATGTTCTAACTGGTCTCTGGGAACGATTTGATTGGCATTAGATTCCTGAAAGCATGGAGATAATGAAGGCATTAATATGTATTTTTGAAGCTGTGTGAGTGCGAGTACAGATAGTTACAAAAAATTCAAATTTCTGCCCAAGTTTTGAGCTGCTATAAATTTTTGTTCTATAAATGCAACATAAAACTTTCAGAATATGGAATGTAGAAGGTCTGAAGGGTCTTTGTTCTGAATGTTCTCTATAATTTGAAGTTTAGGTGGAATGTCAAATCTTTCACCGTGAAAAAAGGTTGACTGTGCAAAATAAACAATTCTGATTGGCCCATCAGATCTTTTAAATACACTTCAAAATTAAATGAAAGTCTGAAACTGTGTATTCCTAAGTTAGTGCCAAAAGAAACTGAAAAACTAGGAAAGGGCCATGGGCTCAAATCCCAGGGTCCTCTTTATTTGTAATTATTATTAGGTATCTTCAAGCTTATTAAAATGAACTGGAGAAAAGATGGTAGGCCTGAATGAAAGAAATGTTTTAATCCATGGTTGGTTCTGAAAATAGTATTCGCACTGTTTACATTTCAGAATCACCTACATGATGCTTGAAATATATGCACACAACAATTTTCCCCCACATTGTGGGTCCCTGTCCTTAGTTAAGACCATGCCATAAAGATGTATGGGGGTATGGAGACAAAGCTTCATGCATGCTTAACCTTGGGCCTGGCTCCAGATGAGTGGTCGGCTTCATAGTACAGCCAAACTACCACCATAAAACAGGCCCCAGTAGCTTTCATTGTTTTACTTCTTTATGTATGAAGTAGACCTATATATGATCAAATATTGTGACCACAAAACTATCTCCAGAATTTGACAGATTTACAGTTTTTGAACCTACTAAATACTAAATATGGAAATGTGGTTTCAGAAATACCATCTGTCTGTATGTATGGATGTGCCTTGCTAATGCCTGAACAGACAGATGACGGATAGCTTCCCCCCCCCACACTCAGTATTTACAAGTTATCCACCACAGATTGGTGTCCAGTGTATTTGAACACTCTACCGGGCATTCAATGATAGAGGAAACCTGGCAGCAGTGTAGAGCAGACACAACATTTCTTACAGATTGCTGCTGTAACTGTCAACAGCAGAATGAGTCATTAGTGCTGATAAATCAGAACAAAATCTTGTTTTCTTTATTTTACTACCATATTCCAAATAGTTTTGGATTATATACAGCTTCATATGCACTATGGGCTCTTTTCTAACAAAAGAAAACCAGCCAGAGCTTGAAGCTGACAACTCACCTCCATCTGTAACCTGGGATATGAATGAATGAAGTCTGATCTTCATATTCTCTGTATACCTTTGCAGTGTCAAATACAGTTATAAGTTTCATCTTTGCCCGAGTCCACAGAGGAATGAAAGCAAGGTCTTCATTCACCAGTACTTAATATTGAAAAATGGTACAGAACAAATTTATATACTGTAATGAGGATATTTAATGCTATGAAAATTGTATGATCTATTTTTGACAGCACTGTACTCTTGTTAGTCAATGTTACAAAATATAATTTTAGAGTAAAGAACATCTGCATGTATTTTTCCACTTGCCACATCCTATCATTTGCCCACAAGGTACAAGAAAACTGCAGAAATATGTCAAGGTAGGCATTCCTTGCCAGGTTTAGAACTGACATCTGCATACTTCTGAACATGAGGCAGGACAGGTACCCACCAAATTTAATTATAATCACTGTACTTTATTTATTTTTTACTCTAAAATTGCAATTAACTTGATTTTTAGAATAAGAGTTCTTTTTTCAAGATTATGCAGATGGTCAAAGCCAGAGTTGGTCATACTAAACAATTTTAAGCACACAATGAAAGATGTCACTAAAATATTTGAAAAATCCAAAAGATTTGAATTACTACAATTGTTGTGTTTGTGAACAATCAGATGATCTACCAGAGCCATGTGGGTAGATTCTCTGTATTTCCTGGTGACATGAGCAGACCTGACATACAACCTGACTCAAGATCTCCTTGAAAATCAGAATTAGCCCAATATGCATACAAGGCCACAAAATATGTTGAAAAGAAGTGAAGATCTTGCACAATAAACCAAACACCACCTACAAGAAATCCACCCATCCCTCTGGTAGACCCATTGATCAGTCAAACCAGTTTGGGCATCTCTCCCATCTGAACTCCCATTATTGCAGCGCAAGTCAGAAAACTACAACTCTGCCCAGGACAGACTGTGTAAGAAAGCTGTTTTTATATTGGTACTATATAGAGAACTTGTTTCTTTGGTGATGGCTTATATTCTGGAAATGCACTAATTTTATAGACACTGGCCATTAGATAACGGAAGGCACAAGATGTTGGGTCTCAGGTGTGGAAATTTTTAAAGTTTTCCATGTATGTCTTAATTCTTGTTGATGCTTTATGTTGTGGCTGGTTTATATGAGTATATCCTACCTGATGTTGGTGCTGGTGTTAGGAGATAGGGCCTGACTCTACTGACTGGGGCTGAATAGGGTTTTATCTGGAGACGAAGACAGAATCCAATCTCCGAAACGTTTAAAATAAAAAAACAGGACAATGGATAATGTCCAAAAACACAATAATTGTTTCAATATTCCAGCAACACAAACGTTTAGATCTTATCTACATTTACTACATCTACTGGATGTGCTTTCTCTCTTCAAACTGCAAAAAACTTTTCCATATCTCCTAGCTGACAATTATTAAAATAAGAACAGCAATCCAAGGGTTGAGTTTTTTGGAATAGTTTACAGTGAAGACAGTGGAACCATCCAATGTAATCACCAGAAAAACATGACAAACATATGACTGCTTGTACCATTTCATGGAATACAGCACATACTGGGAACTATGGCAACATCTGTTTTTGCATGTTATAGGTGATATATATATATCTTAGAAGACCCTCAATAAAATAGTTCTGGCATTAACATTAAGCACAGGGCTCTCTGAAAGGCCTCTGATAGATCAAAGATGCACAGTGGAACCAGGAGTGGTCTGAGTGCTTGGGGTGACTGTAAATTACCTCCCCAGCCCAATATAACAATACAATACCACAGATGTTTGAATATAGTGATGTTACATCTTTCCATTCTTCCTCATTTATCATATATGTTTTTCATCCCAATATAATGAGCAATTCATTTTAACCAATCTGCATAAATTTCAAAGGGCCTGTAAATGTAAGCAATTTTTAATTTTATGTTCCAGTGGCGAGTGATCATAAAATAGGCCAAGGTTTGTTATGGACGGTAGCATTCATAAAAGGGGAAGACATACAAAACTGTATGAATATGATAAATTTCTGTATATATGGTTCATAAACTGAAGTAGAAAATTAAATACAGTTGGACATTCAAAAGATTCTGAACTAGAGCTCTGCATAATCACAATCCAATTATATCCTCATAACATCTAATAATGAAAAAATATAGAACACAGGTATCAAGAAACCCTTTAAATGAACATTTTTCATGAAAATGACAACAGCAGAAGACACAGATTGCTGGAAGGTTCAGCTGCTCTTAGAATTATTACTACCTGTAACCAGGATGTGAAGCACTCTTATCAGCACACTGAGTTACTGTAATCACACACAGCATCATTATGATTTTCTTGTATATAAAGATTGCCCTTCTATGTACAGTTAGTATATAATGAAAACTTATATTCCTTCCTGTGACTAGCTATTGCTTTCCCTTTAGTATGAGCACTGAATATGAAATACCTGACTTCCTCACCTGCAATGCCAAGAACATCAGGTGAATCCATATGCGAGGGTTCCTTGTCTTCATTGTGAAGAATGTACGGTTGTAGAGACAGTGCTCTCCACGACCCTGACAAGCAAAATGGAGTTTGGCTAACTTCTTTGCACGCCGTTCTATTAAAAAAAAGTAGGGGAAATTAACCTGTTGTTATGTGGCATAATAAATAATGCATTAATATCCTCTTTATCCATTAACAATTGTTAATCAAACTAGATTTTAATGAAATTGTACAAACAAACCATAACTGCTGAAAGATGTTATGTCACACTGTAGAAATTGTTTTCCACAACGAAATAGTATATTTAATTCAATGTATGTGCACAGAAATATGATCAGTACAGAATTAATATTAATATAATCAACTTACACAAATAACGTCCATGATTTATTCTGACCGTCTTACAGTGCATACATTTATTCACCTTGCTCTTCTCTCTTGCACTACATGTTTCGGCACTAAAGTGCCATCTTCAGGTGCTTTTCGATGTACGTCGAACTACTGCATTGCATGCCCTGTTGTCTTTATACTAAAATAACTAAAATATATATTCGTCATATATATTGCTAAATTTTAAATATTAAAACTGTTCAGGATTTGTCATCCTTATGTCGTATTTCAGTACGCGAGTCACGCTTATCTTCTGTTGGAGTATTCTTCCTACTTTCATGTGTATTGTGCTTTGTGTTGTGTCTTACTCCTGTGACTGCATGTGTTATATTGCTGGGCCTGCTGGATATGTATACCCAGCATGTATGTACCCATGTATGTATACAAAGCACAATACACATGAAAGTAGGAAGAATACTCCAACAGAAGATAAGCGTGACTCGCGTACTGAAATACGACATAAGGATGACAAATCCTGAATAGTTTTAATATTTAAAATTTAGCAATATATATGACGAATATATATTTTAGTATAAAGACAACAGGGCATGCAATGCAGTAGTTCGACGTACATCAAAGCACCTGAAGATGGCACTTTAATGCCGAAACATGTAGTGCAAGAGAGAAGAGTAAGGTGAATAAATGTATACACTGTAAGACGGTCAGAATAAATCATGGCAATAAATCAGTGCAACAGGACGCTAAAATATGACATTACACAAATAAACTGGTAACTGAATTCCAGCACTGACAATATTTTTAATGCAGAGAAATAAGACTATACAGTGAAATGTCTTACAAAAATGTCAGTCATCCTTCTTAATATGTTCAGCAACAATGGAAACTCTTTAAATGAAAACTGGTGAAAATGTGTGTAAAATACTGAAACATGCTGTCATATGTATAATGACAGGAAACTGATTGCCCATTATGAGTTTTCAGGAAACTATATGAGTATATGCATTCAATCTCAGTGGATTCAGATAAAATATTATATAAATTGTGCATCTATTTTCAGCTTACTTTTTAATTTTATTTTTATCATATCAGCATATCTGTGTTACTTTCATGCATCTGTGACTTCCTCGTAACTTTTTAACCATCTGACATATTTTCACAAAACTCAGTACATCATGCCACTGGAGGTCACCTAAATTTTGCACTTTTTTTATGTTCTACCAGCAAAATCAAAATGGTGATTGCACAAATTCCGGAGGTAGGAAAAGATCTAATGCAATATAATTCAGGGTCCTGAAATTTTATATGCTTGTTATTTTAAGTTTGTCAACCAGGATAGCTCAGTTAGTAAAGCAACAAGCTAGAGGCTGGACAGCCAGGATCTGAATCCCAAAAGGGGAGAGCAAATTTTCTCTTCTTCAGTGTTCATGCCGGTTCTGAGGCCCACCCAGCTTCTTACAGAATAGTCACTGGGGGCGCTTTCACTGAGAGTAAAGCAGCTGGGGCCTAAAGCTGACCACTAACCTCCATCTAGTGCCAAAGTCAAGAATGGTGAAGATATACCTCCACTCCCTCATACATCTTCTTGGTGTACTGCTTATTTACGAATAGGGACTCCTTTACATTTTTACCTCTACATTTATGGTATGTTTTGCAGAATTAATACAAAAAGAAAACATACTGGAAGTGTGAAATTGCTCTAATGGTTCATCAATTATCACTGCCAAATGGAAAGTTAAATACAGTTCTCAAATGGACATGTTTTATATTCCACAAAAGTATGACCTAACAAGAAATTGTACAGGTTTTAAATAAATTTCCACACAAATTGTACAATTCTGTCTTAAGTGGCACTACTGTTGCCTCTGCTTCAGAAATTTTCATGGGTACCATATTGGTATTGTGCCATATAGACCTGTTGCTAAGCAAAGATCTTAAAATAAAGAATGAGCACAGCCATTGCTATGCAACAGGCCAATAAACAAATGGCCGTTTCTAAGCAACAGCTTGGTAAACACATTCTGGTGGAAACAAACACGCATGCAACAAAAGGTGTTTCCAATGTGGTCCCTGCCAAGGAGTTATAAAGACAACTGGGGCAATTCAGTTCAGTTGAGGGTTGACAGTTCAGCTGAGCTCTATGTGGAAGGCGGAGAAGAGAGTGAGTTAGGCTGAGTTCTGCATCGGTGGCTGTAACAAAAGGATCTGAGCACAGGAAGCAGAATACTCTCAATTATCTGAAACTGTTGCCACGAAACGTCTAGTTGAGACTGAGAAGACTTAGCATGTTCTAGCGATTTGTAAAGTATGGAGATCAGCAATAGCGCTGTAATTACTTTTAGGTTTGATCAGTGTGTACAAGTGGTCAATAAATCAGTTCACCAATCCAAACCCCATCTATAATCACACACCTAAATCGTGATAACACGAGTATTACTGATCAGAGGAAAAAAAATACAAAGGTGGGGTGATCTCTAGAACTGATGCTCCAAGAAAAAATAAAACAAAATTGTTTTAAAAGTTATTTGACATTACTGCCAGATATACAGATATAACATTTGCCTGTATTTCCTTATAAAAGAATGAGGTTAAACAGAAAAGAACATGACACACGATACAGTAGAAGTTCTGATATTCGGCACGTGAACACCGGAAGTGTGCAGTCAGAGAAGCACTGCAGAGACATAAACCGCTAGACAACGGTTCGGTAAACACACTCAACAGTGGAAGGACAGCCGTTGCCAGGTATCAAGTTCCTAGGCACGTTTCCATGACAACGAATACGCATGTAGTGATAAAGAAACTGTTACTGGTGGTGATCTATATTTGGTTCTCCCGTAGTTATAAAAGGGAGATACTTCATTGATTAGTGATTCAGTGAGTCATAACAGATTCAGTAGTAAGGGGATTAAGAAGGCAGTTCAATAGCTCAGTGTTCAGCTGGGGAGCGTAAACCAGTGGACAACAGAAGCTGAAGAAGTGATCAATTTGTAAATCAGAACCAAGTCAGTCGTGGCAGAAAAGAAGACACTCGTAGTCCAGTAAGGAATGGAGTGAGTCTTAGACAGTCACTGATGGTCAGCTGTTATAAGTCATTGTGATTACAAGTGACTGTAATATAAGGCATCCAATCATCTGATCCAGAATCCATTATTATTAGCCACAGAAGCCTGGACACATGACAATATTCGCAATTAGTCAATTTCTGGATCATCCACTGTCAGGTATTGCAGTTTTACTGCACTATGAATCACATCTGTTTGTAGAATATTTCAAACCTTAACCCAAGTGCAGCTTCAAAACAACTTACCTTCAATCGTACATTTTGCAGGAGGTGGGATACGAACAGATACCTTTTCCATATACGATTTGATTTTGTCCAAATGTTTTTCACAGAAATGTTGCACTGTGTCTCGCATGGGATATGGTTCAAACACGCTTATCCTCTGCAAAACAAAATTGTATGCAACAGTAGACACAGACAAAAAATATTATATTTGTAAAAAATAATGCAGAATGATTTTAAAAATAGTGAAGGCAAATGAAGGCGAAAGTTCAGTAATCCTGAAACATGAAGAATATTCAGAGAAAATGGAGAAAATAATATACAAAAATTAATATCAAGAACTGATGAATGATCCCATACATATATACCAAAAGGAATTAAGAGAGATAATAAGGAAATGATGACATTACTACAAAAAAGGAACATATTTATACAAGCAAATCGAAAAACACCAAAGCTAAGAGTAAACATAAGAATGCACAAAGTCTATCAGCCCATATGACTAATTTTATATTTCACTAGTGCACTTACATATAACACAGCAAAGCATGTGAGAAAAAAGCTTATACAAAGTACAGAATTAAAAAATCAATATAAGAAAATATAAAGAATACTAAGCAACCCACACAGAGAATCTTAAAGATCTGAACATCAAACGCAGTATAAGAATGATGTCATTAGATATCACAAACTTGTACACAAACATACTGATACAAGGAACAATATGAAGCTAAAGCTATAAAACAAGAAAAATAAAGACAAAAGCATGCAAACAGTCTAATTAACACAGAAAATTTTGAAACATAATTACTTTCAATCCAGAAATAAGATTTATGGACACAATAATGGTATACCAATATCAAGGATTACGGCCAGAATATTTGTACAAACAATGATAAATGCAAGCAAACTGGAGTACATAAACTTAAATGTAAGCTATCCAACAAAACATATATATGACAAACTGGGAGAAACTTCAAGGGAAGATACAAGGAACACATCCATAATATAAAATACAATAAAGAAAATTCCAATATAACACATCCTGAACACACACTACGAATATAAATAAATGGATGAGACCATGGATACCTGCAAACAATTTTATATAGATAAATAAACTCATATTAAATATGAGAGAAACATCAATAAGGGAGGGGCACAGGACATATTACAAATTCCACAACTAAAAGTGATTTACAAACTATGATTCAAGAGGTAATGCAGTTGTGACAGATGTGAAATGATTGATATAAATTATAAAAAAAATTGTCATGAGTGAAGACAGTCAGTTACAAGAAATAACATTGATAAGTAACTTTGTTCACCATCAAGGGCATTGCTGCACTCCAAACACTGCTCATCCTTCTGTTATCCTGTGAAACTTTCCCTCAGCCAATTTTATAGCAATATCTAAACAGAAACAGATATTCTTTCTGGTGATATACATGTCAACAGATGCCCATATCAGTCCAGTCAAATTAAGACTGTCATTTGGTGGTAAGGGAAAGAAGGAATGGACATGGTCAGATTGAAAACCAGCAATTATGAATATTCTGAATCTGGACTCGTTCATTTTAATAATATCACACAGATGTGGCTACTGAAAGATATGCCATGATTCAAAAGCCAGCTGATCTTGGCACTTTGGTACAATACAGCAGTTGGTGCTAGACTACTCTCAGAGCATGATAAAGAGCCAAATGTTAACAGAATTTGTTCTGTGGTGATAATCTCCAGACTCTGTCCTCAATTTAAATAATAATAAAGCATTCAGAATAAAGCTATTTTCATCATGATTATGCATGATGGTACTTTGCTGTCCCTTAGAAACAGTCACAAGTAGACCTGCAGTCATACTGTGGCATATAGACCCATTACTAAGCAGTGACTCTGTAAACAGCGACCATTTCTGGGCCATGACTCAATAAACACATACCTGTTGCTGGGCAGCAGATTCTTAATATTGCACCAGCTGGACTACAACAATGGTAATGGGGTGCTTCTACATGGTCTGTGCTGAGATGTTATACGCAAGAGACAAAGTTCAGTTGATTCTGCATGGGAGGCTGTGAAGAGAGGACCTTAGCATGTGAAGCTGAAGAATCTCCACTGTTAGAAGCCGCTGACAGGGAAAGGCTGGTGAGGTACAAGAGGCTTGAAAAGGCTTAGCGGGTGCTGTGATGATTGGTGAATTGTGGAGATCAACAGTGGGGCTTAATTGCTTGTAGTTCCGAGTTGTGTTAAGTGGTCAGTCAATCCATTCACTAATCCAAACCCCATCTGTAGTTGTCACACATGTCACGTGACAATACCGTTACTCCAGACATGTTCTTTTTGTGTGTTAAGAGTGAATATGCATTTTGCTCATGTGGGTGATATGGCACAATTAAATTTCATAATTATCTCTTCATCTTAGTCCTCTTGCATGACCAACATTTTTTTCAATAAGAACTTCTTTATCTTTGATTTTCTTTACCTAAAACCAAAGTCTCTAATTATGAGCCACAGAGCCCACATCCTTCCACTATTGACAATTTTTTCCTTACACTTACTAACAGTGATTGAAAATTACAACTTAATTACAAATTAAGTTAACTTCATGAAATTACCTTTAATTTGAATTGATTGGTGCTTAAAGCTGATTTTCGAAAATGTAACCACTGGCCGCAACACAGGCTACCCCTCGGTTGTGAACCGCGCTGGACATACCCCATAGGTAGCTCTCAAGTGTCGAGATAACGAGAACGCTCTGTCTGTAGCTGGCTAAAAATAGCGACCTGCCAGCTGACAGACGCGGTTCATACGAGGGCGTGTACAGGAATGAAAAAACGGTAATAACTCTGTAACCGTCCAAAATCGGACACATGTTTATATGGACTTTTGATCACAAAGACCTAGGAAATCACCTCCTACAGTTATGCCCTAAAGTCGTGAAACATCCTGTATAAGGAGCAGAACTTCATCAGGGTGGCCTACTGAGGTAGAAATATCAATGGATAATGAAAACTAGTGTCAATCACTAACTCTGCTGGGCAAATTTCTTCAAAGGCTGATAATCACCCAGCTGACCAAGAAATTTCCTGCCATTTATTGAATGGGCAGATTTATTACCATATTCTCCACAACAGTACACCATGGGATCCTACTCTGAGGTAGCTGAATCCAGTGCACACTTCTGCATGTCAGTTCTTTACAACTGACTTTAATATAATCCTCCCATCTGCAACTAGCTTCCCTTCAGGTTTGCCAACTAATATTCTGTATCCATTTTACATCTTCCCCATGCACGCTAAAAGCCCTATCCATCTGATCCTCCTTTGTTTGATAAAAATGATGAAGCTCCTCATTACGTATTTTCTCCTGCTCATATGTTCTCTATACAGTTAACAAAATACTCCAAATATAATATGTAAAATACAGCTACCATTGATGTATTTTGTTAATCTGTTTATATGGCAAGTTTCTCATACTTCTGCTATTTCCTCCATCAGAAATTCATGCACGTTTCTCAAACTCTCTCCTCAACAAGGTAAAATTATCATTTCACGCAATTCACAAATTCAGATTTTTAGACATGAGACAGGAACATGAATGATATAATTATGCAGCTGTGGCATTCATGCTTAAGGCATATTTTTGTACAGTTTAAAAGAGTTTTCACAGTGGCGTGTAACCATAACTTGAACTTGAGTTTTTCAAAACCATAGTGCTTTGGATATTGGTCACATTTACACCATGACAAGTGTTGGGGGAGATCTACTATATTGTGCCCACTGGACAGAACTAGTCGCAAGCACTGAACAAAAGAAATTCTGAGCGAAGAATATACTCTTGATATTGTAACGTGTCTTGCTACTGAAGACGCCGTTCGGGTTGTTAATTGGTTTATTTAACAACCTACAAGTCTTGGGTACAATTAATTATAACAGTGTTATGGGTTTACACAATTTACAAACCCTATGCACTAATCTATTCACTCTGTCTTCAGTAGTCTTCACTTATTCACAGTACAATACGGGAGCTATACCAGTGTCACTGTATTACACACTCCCAATACCTTCTCATGCTATCACTTCTAATCACATGTTCCGGTATTCTTCTTTCCGCTACAACTGAACTCGGCGACTGTTCCAACTGTCTCCGGCGGCGGCTATATTTCAACTGCCTTCGGTGGCTGCTGTATTTTAACTGCACTCGGCAACTTCACGATCCATACGGTGTCACTCCTGATCACACACACTTCACATACTGCTCTGTCGGCTTTTTATACCGTTCGCTGTTGCCTGTGTCAATAGTGGTATTGTGTGTTACATCACAGGAGGCAGCGCTGCCATGTCACTGTGGGGGAGGGGGAAGAGTGTTGACTGGCCTGTTACCAGAGCAACGGCAGCACTCCGATGCCGCCATGTCACCGGTGGCAGGGAAGGAGATGTCCTCCATCGCGCAATACATCACAATATGAAAACTTAACAGCAGGATGTGATAAAATTTCCAATAAAAATTAAGAAGAAATGAAACTGAAATCCCTTAGACGTAGGCTTAAAATTCTTCATAGAGTCACTATAACCAAATTTAGAAAATGACAGCTGAAAATTTTCTGTTGTAATCAAATACTGACAGTATAAGACAAGCAAATGATGCCAAGAAATGGCAAAAACTACAAGAGAACTAAAATCCCCTGTTGGTAAGGTTAGAATCTTGCAGAGGGTCACTACAGAATGACAGCAGAAAGTGCTTTCTGTTGACATTAACCATCATCAGCAGGAGACAGTAATATGTCAATAAAAACTGTAAAAGAATCCACTATGGAATAGTCATCTTACAATTGGAGATGGAAGCACAACAAGTTTTCAATATGCTATGATTTGAAAAAAAGAAACTCATGACAAAGTCCAAAATATCACTCCTAGTTATACATTTTTATATTTAATGTTAATTTAATTAATTAATTAATTAATAATTAATAATGTTAATCTTAATTTAAGAAATCCCCCATTACCAGTTAATTGTGGAATATTGGCTTAAATAAATTTAAATAAGCTGTTAAGAACTTTCAACCTAGTAACTTATATAAAGGAACATACCTGTGATGCAGCAGCAATGGCAGCATTACTCTGCAGGTTAGAATTGATGATGGTCACACTTGTATTTGCTCTTCTTGATGTCACAACTGTGGCTGGTAAAGTCTGTGAAGTTACTGTCTGAGCACATGACTGATTATGTGAAACTGCAACTGACTGACTTGCAGAATGTGTAGATGATGCTGAAGTTAGTACTGGCTGATTAAGAGCAATGTTACCAGAACTACTAAGTACACGGGATGGCATCATATGAGGCTGTGATGAAGTGAGGCTGTGTATTTTGTTGCCAGACTGACTAAGATTAATTCCTGTCATATTACTTGCTGAAAACAAGAATTAACACATTTTCAAACAGATCTATTATTAAAGTTTTACATCTGTTCATACATCTACTGAAACTGATAATTTCATCTTCTATCTTTCTTTAAAGAATCTCTAGTAAAACAAGATTACTGCCCTAGATCTGATCTAGGCCATACCGTGTTGTTTACTGCAATGAACTCTGGATTACCTGCAAGCAGATTACACAGTACCGCGAATACAAAACAAATTATTACATTCACCATAACCATCTCATCTCTAACCTTTGAACAACCGTTCATAAATTACTGTTATCTAACAAAACATTTTAGCAACATTCTGCAGATACTGTACTTCAGTGAAACAGTTGAGAATTTAGTCCTCAATTGATGCTTCTTTCACTACTCTTCTATAAAATGGCATGGGAAATGTAATGAAGAGGTACTAAAAAGCACAAATTCTTCACAACTCTGAGAGGGTTATGTTGTGGCCTGGTAATCTGTCATCCAACAAAAGCTGAACATTGAAACACAGGAAAAATCGTAAAATAAAAAGACCGAAAATGAAACACCAGTCCCAAAGGGTGAAATTGCCTCATTGGAGAAATTGAAAAGAAATAAAAACTAAATCATAACAAAAACAATGTTCATAAGTCACTACTTGATATAATGTCATGATTGCAACAGTTAACATTAATGTGAATCAGGATATGATTTGACTAAACGTGACAACACAAAAACATCTAAGTGTATTGTTATATTATAATTTTAAATTCTAAACCTTATTAACTTACTGTATATATTTTATAGTATTTTTATGAATATTTTTAAGCATCCACAACTTTTAATAAGTTTTAATATGTTTAAAGATATAGTGATGATTCTGTCACGTCGAATGTATTGACTATGTATAGAACAAAATACATTGATAATTGTAATAATGTAACACATATACTTATGTGAAACAATTCAATAGTTTCAGAACATTTCTATTAGTGTATATTCACCCGATGATGGCTTTTTAATAAGGCAAAACATGTAGCAAGTTGAAGAAAGCAGTCTTCTGGGATTTGGCACCGTGTATATGTGGCCCAGAAGACTGCTTTCTTCATAGTCACCGCCGTGAAAGCCTCAAATCTTACATGTAGCAAGTTATACCACTAAGATCAGTAAACTGACTATACACACTTGATGCAAATGAGATAATTGAGAGTTATGTTGTGACAGATTAAAACATATGCTTTATCAACTGTTGTGTCTATGTTACATGTTATGTAACATGAACTGGTGATTATGACTGATGAATGGAAAGGATGTGGAAGGGAGCAGTCATGGCCTATTTCAAGGCACTATACAAGGATTTGCCTGAAATGGCTGGAAAATGTGGTACATTAACTAGTTACACTATTTCTTTGACCATTCACTCTTTTGTTTATTTTCTCCTTCACCTCTGTCTGCATAATTTATTTACAACTTTGTTGCACATTACAACAGTCTTTGTTATCAGATTTATGCATATACTTTCTGGCTGCTTCCAGTCCTTTCAGTGCATCCAAGAATATTGCTTTTGCTTTATATTCTGCAACTTTCTCTTCCTCTTCTTGTTCTTCTCCTGGCCTTGCCATAGGTTAATCTAACACCTGGTTGACACTCCAGACTCCACAGACTTCTAGAGCGCTGTCACATGCTGGGTAGCCCTCAGTCTGCAAGAGGATGTAGACTATGCCAGTCATCCTCTTCTTCTTCTGTGAGTTTCACTGCACTGCTTTCATTGCTGCTGACATGATCAATCAAGAAACTACACTTCACAAAGCAGTTCCTAATTGTAGCAGGTGTTATCAGTCTCCAAGGTTCTACTACTAAGTGCACTGCAGACAACACATCTAGCTTCATCTGTGCAGCGTCTTGGAGCAGTCGCCCCAGCATCATGGTGGCAGTCTTCAAAATCAGCTGCTTTCTGTAATGGCACTTAAATGTATGGATGATTCTGAAATACAGAGGGTATGGCTGGGTGGTATAGTTAGCTGGGAGAAATAAAATTTTGGTGTCACTGAAAAATGTAATGTACTTTGAATAAGCATCACATGGATCAAAGCCATATTTTGCAACTTTTAGCACACAGTTTTCTAAGCAATGTTGTGTCTCCTCTTTAAGTCCGCTGATCCAACCAGTGGAAGCCAAAAAGAAAATCAGAGATCTGTAAGCCCTTTTCCTTGAGGTGGGTGCCATCTATGGAAACACTACTCTGATGTGCTTCAACTATGCAGCAAATGCAGATTTCACTTCCTCCAGTGGTGAACATTTCAATGACTTCTGCTGCTTGAAGAAAGGTCTACAGTGGATGAAACTCCTTTCAATTTCTTCACAGTTCGTCACAACAAGGTTTAATGCGGGCATTGAAAGTCTCAACTATGTACCTGTTCAACATGTGTTCCATTATGTGCATTAACTTGTACTGAAATATTTATTTTATCACTAACTGTAAGTGACTTAGGTTTTCCTTTATTATTCACATTTCATCCTCTTGCTGTGAAATCTGTCTTAGTCTAACTACAATTTGGCCTTTACAAAGAGAAGTCACATGGGCACAGGAAAATGAAATAATTTAACCTGTGTACATTTCTGTTACGTTTCACCTATGAAAACACAATAGTTACGGTGATGCAATTGTCATTCTTTGGTACAAAAACAAACTCTGTGGTTCTAGTCCGCAAGCGAACTATGCCCACTGAGCGACCACTGCTACTCAGAGAAGTTAGTGCTAACTTTAGCAGATACAAGGTATGGCGTGGTCATCACAACGATTCCCCACGGCCATTAATTTCGGTTCTCTAGACTGGCATTCTTTGGTCAACTTGTCAGACATGGGAGAGACAAATTGCCCTCAATAAGTTACTGTTATACTAAGATGCATCAGGTTAAAAACTTGTTTAGCACACCTGTGAGCTGTCTGAACTGCGATGGCAGAAAAATCAGCTCATGCGTGCTAGGTCATAGTGAAGTCATATGGTGCATGCTTGAATCACAGCCATGCATCAGCTACATGACACATGTTTCCACACTGAATTATTAGGGACTGCTAACACAGGAGGAGGTCTGTTGTCTCAGATAAAAAACTGTGAGAATTAAACTACAAAGTGTAAAATGTGGTACATTTTCACAGCCATGATTAGAAAACAAAGTGCAAAATAAAGGGAAATGTAAAGTTTCAGAGATGTAAAATCCATTAAGTTTAACATTAATCTTATGGGCATTTGGCCAGGACCATGCAAAGGGCATAAATTCGTGAAAAACATAAAATCCAAGATTGTAAGATTGAAGTTTCAGTGTAGTACCCATCAAGTAATAACTGCACAAAATTTCATCTGCCAATACATACTGCAAGTGTCAATAAAACAAAAAAGGGAAACATACGCAGAGTTACAACTGTGACTAATTCTATTCCTTTTGTGTAATTATCTCAAAGACACATATACAAATTGCAGAAAAATTTGGCATAGTAATGAATATTTTAATGTCCTGTCTCAACTGGTCATAGTTCCTGAATACTGATCATGACATAAGTACAGGTGCATGCGAGCATGCGTGAATGTATGAGTGGGTGGGAGTGCACAAGCACATGTAAACTTTCAGACCACTGCTAATTATCTTCCTGATCATTAACAAAGCTCATCGCTTTCCATTTCTCCAGCAATTCTAAATAAATTGAACACATCTCTTCTATACGTAAAATGAGTTTTCAATAAACTGTTGTTTTTCCTACCTATGTCTCTAGTTCCTGCTTGTACGACCAAAGGACTGTTATTCTGAATAGGCAGAGGGTAAGATGCAGAGATGGAAACAACCAGGTCTCTGTCTTCTCGTTGGCCAGATGAATTACCTCTGAAAAAATAACAGTCAAGTTGCATTACAATAAATCACTGATTTTCAGGTATGTGTTTAGAATTTTTCAATTACAAAATGTTACCAGGATATCAAATGCAGAGTTATCTCTCTCTTCATGGACCAGTGTCCTTCTTGTGCCTCTTGGAGAATCTAAAGGTTTATTACTGTGTTCATAAGAGGTCAGCATTGTCTCTATCCTGAACCAAATCAATCTGATCCACACTCTCTCTCATTCTACAGTATCTTTCAGGTCCATCCACGCCTAAGCCTTCCAAGTTTCCTCTTCCTTTCAGGTTTTCCATCCAAAACTCTGTATACATTTTCTATCTCTCCCATGCATGTTACAAGCCCAAACCATCACACTCACCACAATCTGAATCACCCTAATAGTATTTTATGAGGAATACAAATTATGAAGCTCCTCAATATGCAGAATTTTCTGGCTTCCTGTTACTTCATCCCTCTCAGGTCCAAATATTCTCCCCAGTACCTAATTCACAAACTCCAAGTTTCATAACCACACAAACAAGAGACACAATTATGGTTCTGTACACCAATATGTTTATCCTCACATTTGTCAATGGGGCACAGGAAGGAAAAAGATTATGATTCTAACTGAATCATAGTAAACATTTCCTAAATTTATTCTACTAGCACTTTTTACATGAAACACTTTTGATCCGTTACTGTTGTTTTCAAATATTTTAACTTAGTAACATTTTATAACATGTCTGATCAAAATAAATCTTGGAACCATTGTTTTAAGCTGCCTGCAACTCATTCATTACACCTGTTCTCCATATATGATGGCCATCTCTTCCAGAGTATGCTGCGCCCATGCTGTAGAGGCAAGGAATTATGAGAGCTGCAATTCACTACATCTGCTTCATTCAAACTGCACTAAAAATTAGTCTACTTCATAAATAAGCAGTCCCATCATGCAAGGAATAAATTTAATCTGTCTTACATTATGCTTTTATTGGGACTTGCTGTTGTGACTGTAACTCCTCCACTTGAAACCTTCTGAGCTGCTGACACACTGTATTGCCTCCCACCATTGATTGTGGTGATACTACGGTTATTGCTTATAACAGTGGGTCCACTCACGGAACTGGGCACTGGAACCAGGTTTATTTGCTGACTGGAACTCAGTCGCGTCATGCTTTTATGGAGGCCACCAACAGAGCCCACACGACTACCACCAACTGTAAGATACCGGGACTACAGTAAGGCACTGGTTTCATTTACACGTCATCCATTCGCTCATTTACTTTTGGCATTAGAATGCAAACATTTCAAACCACTAACATACAAACCCACACTGGGCAGTTCAATCTAATCCACTCACAAAGACCCAGCTTCTTGGAATTCTTCTTAGTATTATTATACAAATGATTTTTACTCACTTAGTTCAGGTTTATTTAATGATGCTCCCAGTAGCTCAGGCTATTCAGTATTGAAGGAGAAAATGGTTCAGTAAATAATAAATTGTAAAAGATTAGAAAATGCTTATGGAATAATTTGAAGTACTATCATGGAACTCCTTGGAGGGACTGAAGAAAACTGCTTAGAACATCAGTAAAGACAGTCTTGTGTCTTCACTGAGATCCCATCTGTGCACATTCTAAATACAAGTCAGAAGCATTACCACTTCAGCCAATGTTCTCAAAATAAGCCTATATGAGATTCCTGATATTCACAGTGGCACAGATTCATAAGGTCAGAATTATGATATACTGCTTCTACCTTCAGGGTAGAAGACAGTAATGTGACATGGACGGCGCAATGCACGGTAAACCACCCCCCGTGACATAACAGCACTTCCCACAGTAACATAACAGGGGACACCGTGGTTACTACGCACCAATATCAACTCTCGGCAGCGTTCCCCAGCAACGCCTCTAAACACGGTGTTTACGCAACAGTGAAGCGAGGTGGGGTTTCTGCTGTCCAACTGAGGGTTTATAAGGGAGACTGGAATGTGTAAGGAGTTGAATTGTAGCAGCCGCCGAAGCCAGTTGGTATTTGAAGCAGACAGAAGACAGTGGAAGTCTAGCAGCCGTGGAAGAAGAACATAATGCGTGATCAGAAGAGTTTATGTGTGATAATCAGTGATAGTTTGTGATAACTTAGAAGGTATTGTGAGTGTGTTATTCAGTGACATTTGTAGAGCTCCCGCGTTATAAATACATGAAGACTACTGAAGAGATTATTGTGTAGGGTTTGTAAATTGTCTAAACCCACAAGAGTGTTATAAGTATTCGTAGTTGTGACTTGTAGGTTGTAAAAAAAACCAATTAACAATCTGAACAGTGTCCTCAGTAGCAAAACACGTTACAGTATGTTTACTCAATATGTTGGTATCAACCTATCAGACTACCAGGTGTCATAACCCAGGAGGAAGAGCAGCCAAAAATGAACATGGTGGTGGTAGGGGTGGTAGCAGAATAATAATACTTTCATATTCTTATGTCACAGACTCAACATTTCCTAAACTGTACCTCTTTCCTGACACCTGCGTCTGAAATGGAAACTGAAATTCAACTACCCACCCCCCCAATAAACATGGTTCAGACCCAAAAATACTGACCAATGTTCAGTCTTGTCATGCTCCTGTTGCCTATAGATGTGTGTAACCTTCCTGTACTCCGACTGTCACCCCCAAGTCTTGGACGGTTTATAACCAAGCGATTCACTTCTTGACGATTCAACCAGCACCCTCCAACATCTTGCTGAGCTAGAATTGTCTGCCTGGGACATGAAATCAGCTGTTCTTTTGCTCCTACTCCTGGTGCCACTTGCTGCTGCTGGGTCTGCACTGACAGGCTCTGCTGCAGATCTGGTCGACTTCCGCCAACTTTCACAATAGTTACACCACCAGACATCTGGTTTACCTGTGTACTAACAAAATTACTAACATTACAATTCAGACATCTTGAACAAAGAAGGAACATCTACACAGTCGCAGACTAAGCGAGTGGTGTGAAAACTACAAAGAATAAAGTGACCATAATGAAATAATTACAATAAGCATAGAAGGGAAGCCAATTGTCTAGAATATGTGGGAACCTCAACATCTCACGACTCTATGGGCCTCCATGGCCGGTTACAGGGATACCTTTACTTTGACTTCTTTACTTATAGAAGGGAAGATCATTTCTAATTGGAACTTAATGAATGGAAATGTGAGGCTGTGCAGCAGATTCAAATAAATCAGGACAGGATCTGGAGGCAGACACTTGTGATATGGTAATGAACCTTTCGATCCCATGAAAGGCAAGGCATTTCTCAACAACCAATGTGACTACCAGAATCTGAAAGAAATGTATTTAGTTTTGGTAGGCTCTTGTGAAAATGATAACAAGCCTTCAGCTTCCATAAAATACAGTTAATTTATTGACCAGCTGAGAAAATATCCATTTCTCAAGCATGATTCTGCTCCATGAAGTTCATGCAGTTTGTTAATTTTATAAAGTTAACCCAAGTCCAGTTTCTTGGTTCATACTATCTCAACTGCACAGGTTATGCAGCACTGGAGTGGAAGGATAACGGCAAATCATGAACTGAGACAGATGTCAATGGAAATGGCTGGGACCTATTTTAAGGTAAAATCCCAGCATTAGCCTAGCAGAACTGAAGAAACCACAAAATACCCTGTGCCACAGTAGCAGACCTCTGGACTATGATAAGGATTTCCTGAATGTGAAACATGAATGCTTCCCATGACATGAAGTTCATAAACACTAGGAAATGTTAAAAGTAAGAGAAAATCAATAATTACAATGGTTCATTAATTCAGATACGAAAAAACATGATAAATAAGAGCTGATATCAACAATGGAGAAAAACTTTGCATAAAGACTAAATAAAACAAAATACTCCTTTATTAAATTTGAAAAGTCATGAAAACAAGATGATTCTAAGAAAAATCTTACTACAGTAAACTCCCAGTTATCTGGCAAGTATGGGGAATGGAATCTTCTGTTTAGACGAATCTGCTGGTTGTGTGAGAAGAGAAAAGCTCTTACAGAAACCCCCAAGATTTACACAATTTCTCCCTTCTCCAGTCTTTGGCACACTTCCATTTTCTGTTTCAAGTACAGGACGTCTTCTTTACAGATACAGTGAATTGATGGGTGGAAGATTTTGGGTATAATGTAACATGATCAGAAATTCAACTTGCCTCTGCTGTAATCACAGATCAATGTGACTGTAATGACATCTGCTTGAGAAGATGCTGGGCAGCACTTCTAGTTTTGCAATGCAAAATTTTTATAATAATGGTAAATTTCCTTTGAAATTTTTGTCAGTTGCATGAAGATTCCAGATCCTTGGTGACTAGCTATCTGGGAATTTATCATATACATATCTCACAGAATACAGGCGCAAAATGTAGAAAAAGACGTTAACTTTTACAAAGTATGATCAAAAAAAATATCAGAACTACATCACTGGAAATTCAGACACAACACTTACACAAATATGTGGATAGCTGATCTTCAAAGCAGACTAATTCAATGCATATACACCTAGTCCACTTTCAAGTATTTTAGAGAATACAAAACTCTTATGTGTACAGCAGAATCAGTTAATACAGACCATCCTGGCACTGCATCTAGTTTAAGCAAGCTAGAAGAAACAAAGTGTTTTACTAATATAACTTACAAGCTATGTATGCAGTGTATGCACTGCAAGACGGAATAAACAAATCATGAACTTAAATCAGTGCAACAGGACGCTAAAATATAACATTATTTATAAAAGGTGAATTTAATTTAAGCTTGCTACATAAAACAAATAGATCCCCTAAAAGAAATTAAAAGTTGTTTATAACAGGTAAACATGTTAATACTGTATGCATCACTAATTACGTGTTACAGTATTTTACTTCTGGCAACTGTACCACAAGGACCAACGAAGATTAATCAAACCTGTGTGACAGCCAGTTTCCTCACCAAGATTCTACTGATGACCCGCTGAATATGAAGCACGAATTTAAAAAAAGATTCATACTGAAATGTGGCAGTTCTGGTCAGATAATTCTGATACCCTTTTCAGCTTCAGGGTAAGAGATAATAGGTGCTTGGATAAGGTTTAATTCTTCACACAAATGCAAGTAAGAATAAATTCACTATAATCTTATGTAATTATCGCTTGCACAATAAAACCAGCAGTTAAAGTTTCCTTGAGAAGCAGTAAAACTGAATTCTTTTACTGAGGGAAATCTTAAATGGAAGACGTTTAATGTAGGATATTTATTTTTAATTACTGAAACTGAATATTATATTATGAAAAACATTAAATTGGACAATATTAAAATGGGTTCTGCTGAAATATACAAATACTTATGCATTTACAAAATTAAAAAAATTTTACTGTGGGCTTACAATGTACAACCATTACTACTCGTATACCACAGTCATTGGTAATTAATGCAGTAAGTTTCCAGAAAAAATGAGAAGAAATAAAGATAGAAATAGGACATGGAAATTAAGACTGTGAAGACAGATGATGAATGGGAAAGATAAAGTTAAAACATATTTTAATCATGCAGTATTCTAAAAACAACAAAGATAACTTATGTTGGATACTGTCCATAGTCTTGAGTTTTCTTTAAATACAATGTTTTGGGAACTGGACCTGTTTCTGACATCAGGTGTAGGGAAGGAAAAATTCTTACTTAGTTGTACCCAACAGAAGGAGCTAGTCTCAATTACTGAAGACCAGCTCCTTCTAAAGAGGACCAACTGAGTAGGAACCGTTCATCATACCTCTTGACAGAAACAGGTCCAGTTTCTGAAATGTTTTAAAACATTCAAGACAATTAACAATATCCAAAATAATAGTCGTGTTTATTGTTAACACCATCACCAGAAAACTTTAGACATGGCATGTAGCATTTAATCTGAAATAAGCAACACTCTGTATGATGCAGATGAATCAAGTTCTACAAGATATAATTTGGTACTGACAGATCCATTCTCTTATTTTCTATTTGATTCATACTTGTTATTTGACTGATTCTTGTAGCTACACTGCTTTACTTCTGCCAACATCTTCTCATTCACCAGAACAGGGTAGCTACTACACAGTAGTGTAGCCTCCCTTAATAATGTCCCTTGACTTCCACGGTCAGCCTTTGGCAGATGTTCCAGCACAAAATTCAATGCTTCTTGAGCATGATCCTTATTGAGTTTACCAACTGAAGAAATTACTTGGGCAGCAAGGCAGAGAGTATTTGGGTGACATTCTGCCGCCTGCTTTATCTTGGACAGATGGTCAACAAGTAACTGTGGACGCTTGCCTGCCATATTGAGGAACACTTGCATTGTTGCTGAAGTGGTTGAGGCAGTGCTCAAGTATTCACAAAGCTGTGGCAAACTCGGCTCAAGAAGCTGAAAGAGAACATTACAGTTCAATTACCTCCTTTAATTCTATGTTAACTTCAGAAAGGAGCAATATACAAATGTATACATTTTCTTTGGCTCTTTACAACTAAAGAGCAGAGGTGCACCAGAAAACCCAGCTGTGCTAGTTAATCAAAATCATCAGCAACAAACCTCCCACATTTAAAAAAAAAATACTATTTGGCCCACTCTCCTTATTTTAAAAAAATAAAATAGGCATATGAGATCACCTTGCTCTGTGCATGTATCTGCATGTGTCTTCCTCCTAACAACTTTTGAACGCTTGAACTGATCTTTATGAATAATGTATAACAACAACAACAACAACAACAACAACAAAGCAGCCTCTGAAACTGTTTACTGACTTTGTTATGTATACATATGGAAATGTTTTCCTACCTGTATCAAGTACTCAAATTGTAGTGAAAGAAAAGTAGGTGATCAGTTGGTACTTCTTGCCAGTACCATGTTAATGAGTATAAAAATATGAACAGGTATACCTCACTCAATGACAGGGTCAGGTTCCTCAAAAACACATTATCAGAATGGCAATTTTCAATATATGCACATGTTGTACTATCAGCATTCCTTGAAAAGGAATTATACTATATTTTAAATATAGTATAACAATTCTTAGGAGCATGAAAATTGTGAAAGAACTAGAGCAGATGTATTCTATTTTGCATAAATTTTGCATAAACTGACAATATTTTGTATAAAACATGTTGATGAAATAAAAGATCAATATAGTTTTCAAGATAACAACTAAACATAAAACAGCCAGAATTGTATATTCCAAATAAATTACACCTCAGCTTGGTGAGAAACGTCACAATTATGCTTTACTTATTTAATAACACTTTCTCAGCTACAATGGTTACATGGTATCAAAACAGTACAGTGAAATGTGAATGAAGAATCAGACAGAATGTTAAATGAAACAATAGTATTACAATCTTCAGCCAATGGCAACTAAGATAAATCACCACAAAAAGTACATCAGGACAAATAGTTACCAGACCAATCACAAACCTGGAACTTCTCAAATATGAAACAGGAGTACCAACCAGTCAGTTATGATGTATCCTACAGTGCTGTATTTCTGTGCCACTTGAAAGTATTGTCACTCAAATGTGTACATTTTTAACATGTTTTGGAAATGATTTTTCAGACATCATTATAATGAAGTGTCATTAAATGAGGTGTATCCATATTCAGCATTAGCATAAAATGAAAGAGACTAGAACTAAATATGTAGGATCTGAGGCTTTCACAGAGGTGGTAATGAACAGTTCTATCTTCTGGAATATGACGCTTTGTAGTCCCTTGAAAGTCAACTGAAGTTTCAGAGGAACATGTCTCCATCTTGAGGGTCAAAGATTAAGCCAAGCAAGAAACCAGTGTGAAAGCTGGTGGCAATACCTGTTTTGACACTGGTTTCTTGGCTTATTTTACAAACCTAGCCAATAAATTAACTCCATGAACACCAATGCCTACCACTAGTGCCATTTGTGGAGTAAATCCTGAACACTCGAGACTAAAACCTAAGAGAAACCCCATGATGAATCTGTCACGTCATATGGATCTCTGTGAGTTGGTAACCTCATTGCTGATAAGGGGGATCCAGATGGGAGAAATTTCCAGATTTAGTTCGCTGATTGGATTGGTTGAGCATGCCATGTGGGTAGATTCCTTATATTTCTTATACATGCTGTGACTTTCAATTTCTAAAATCCTAGATTCAGTCCAGCCTACCCTATGATCCTCTTCATATGCATGCTGGACTAATTTTTATTTTTCTAGAAGACCCTCATTAAGATTGTGCCTATGTTCACAGAGCCATACGGCCAGAGATCTGCCTGTTTTGCCAATGTAGCTTCTGCAACATTCACAGGGAATACTGTAGATGCACCGCGCGGTCTGTTGCAGATCTCTTTCTGGTCTGGTTTTGTGAACTCCTATGGATGTGTTTAGTTCTGAAAATTGTCCTACTGTTAAATCGATTCCCTATCCATTTTCTACCTCTCTTCTGCTTTATCACAATTTTTATTTCATATTCTCCTACTGTCTCCCTTCAACACAGCCTTGTCTCAGGTGATTAAATAGCTGTGTGAATCTGACAGGGGTTGCCTAGTGATTGAGGTTAGCTCTTTCTAAGGGACCCAACAGAGTAGGTGTCTCCCCCTCACATGAGGACAGGAGCAGATCTATTTTCTCAAACCTTGTGTTTTCTACACAGAGTTACTGGGATTTTGGACTCTTTCCGTTGTCTGGAATATTAGGTAATAGAGGACACAACATTTCAGAAACTGGATCTGTTTCCATCTTCAGGTGAGAGAGGAAGACACCTACTCAGTTGGGTCCCTTAGACAGAGCTGATCTCAATCACTGGATTTGCTCTTTCTAAAGGGCCAAATTGAGTAGGTGTCTTCCGTTCTCACCTGAAGATGGAAAGAGATCCAGTTTCCGAAATGTCGTGTCCTCTATTACCTAAAATTCTGGATGATGGGAAAAGTCCAAAATCCTAGTAATTCTGTGTGTCATCCTTAATCGTCAGAACCCTTTAGAATCTACTTCTGTTTTATAGCTTTTCAGAATACCAGATGATGGACAAAGTCTGAAAACCCAATAGTCCTAGATTGATGATGTTTTTCAATCACATATTATAATGGTTCTATGCTTTTGTGTTATGTACTTCTGCCTGAAGGGTGAGCAATTCTGCATTCATATAACCATTACTAACGTTCTGGATTGCAAGTTTTCTCGCCTTTGTCTGACTAGGGAGAGGCCCAGAGGGTGGACTAATGGTAGTACTTTTTGGAAACCTGCAAGTACATTCAGGAAAAGAAATTACACAAAAAAGCTGCAACTATTTAGGAATCACTCATAATGATAAAAATAATGGAAGAAAGATCCATTTTATACACTTTTTCCATACATGTAACATTAGGAAAGTGTTAATGAATTTGTCACCATAATGAAGTTCCTGCTACAAGCCAAACCCATTCTATCACAGTTATATTGCCTATGTGAAAATTTCTTCAGTGCAATTATGCCACACTTTACATACTAAATTCTGCCCTCTGTTCCAATGTAACTCTAGGTTTATATTTGTTCTAAAATTTGATCTAATAGTATATGGTCCCCTTTCAAACTTTCTATGGTAACATTTTTACATAATTAAAATATTTCCATAGTGATTGTGTAACTATTATATAATATCTAATTCACTCATACTCCATTCCAACTGTCTCTAGTGATGTTGTAACTCCCTTTTCCTCTGAAACCATGAGTTTCATATACTGAATTCATTTCTAATACAAAGCTGTAGTTGATTTTCTCCTGTGCTATATCTTCCTGCTTCACAATTATCTCCCAATGCATCAAATCCTTCTCCATATTCTCCTCACACCTGAATATTATTATTCCCAGTTACAAAACAGGTTAGTCTAGATGTAATGTTCTAACACCTGCACTGGGGTGTTGCTCAGTTCAAATATCAGCCACAATACAGGTTATCCTGGTTGTGGTTTTAATTTTTTCTTGGTTCTCCCAGCAAATGTTGCAGTATTACCTCAATTATGCCACTAGCAATTCTGTGCAAATACTTTTCGCCATTCACATCATTCTACAATCTGAAGCTATACAGTCTGGAACTGGCAATAGTTTTAAATAACCCACACACACAAGAAAATATTCCCCATTATGCATACTGTTTCTCCTACAGCACCTCTGTCCACTTCAGTAAAAAAACTTCTTTTTACATGGCACTGGAGCCAACCTAAGTGCATATACCAAAATTAACTCTACTACTTGTCCATCCATAATTACTGGAATCCAATACTGAGATGACAAAGTGTGATAATTATGCATGAAATTACAACATTTCAGACAAATCTGTACTTACACATGGGTTATTTTTTGCAATGAGAGCAAATAAGTTGAGTAGTGCCAGTTTCTCAGGATTTTCACACAAAGGCAGAAGTGAGACAAGGGCCATCACATGTTCATGTAGAGGTTCTGTATTTACTGCATAGATTTGTGGTAGTACACGGCAGAGAGGATAGTTACCTGTAATTAAATGTTACACATGAAGCCCTTTGGTTCTCACCATGATAAATTATTTTGTAATTCTTACTTTCTTTGTAGTTTGTGGGATACTGTGCATCTAGGTTGTGTGCAGAGGAAATACAAAGCCTGATCGATAGTTTCATTAGTACATTTACGAGGCATATCCACAAAATAAGTTCCGTTTGCAAATATTGCCGCTGCAGCACTGCGGTCAGTGTGGTGGGCATGTGTGTAGTGTGTTGGTCCTTTTGGAAGGCACAGACGCCATATGCATTTACACATCATCCTGTGTGTTTACGATGTTCAAGAAAATCAAGAACCCCGGCGCATATGAAATGCAGTCTGTAATCCATTTCTTGAATGCAACAAATATGAAACCAGCTGACATTTGTTGTCAACTCTGTGAGGTGTATGGAGAACATGCCATGAGTGATTCAATGGTAAGGAGATGGGTGAGACACTTTAATGAAGGACACGAAAATGTGCATGATGATCCGCGGAGCTGTCGACAATCTGTGGTTAATGAAGATGTGGTGTGTGCAGTGGAAGAGAAGATGCAAGAGAACAGACAATTCATCATTTCATCACTTTCCCTGTCACAGTCACTTCTTCACAAAATTGAATCTGATAAACTTCGTTTTCAGAAATTTTGTTCACGCTGAGTGTTGAAGTTGGTTATGGATGAACATAAAATGAAACAGCGGGCCAGTGCGTTGACCTTTCTGACATGATTCAGTGAGCAAGGCGATGACTTCTTGAGTCACACAGTCAAAGGGGACAAGACATAGGTGTCGCATGTAACTCCTGAATCAAAGCAGCAGTCCATGGAATGGAGGCACACATCATCACCAATAAATAAAAAATTCGCTCACAAGATCATGTGCACAGTATTTTGGGACAGAAAAAGCGTCCTGCTTGTGGCATTCTTTTTTCAAAGCTCAATCAATGCAGGTGTCTACTGCAACACACTTAAGAAACTGCATTGTGGGATCCAGAACAAGCAACATGGCATTCTTAGTCGGGGTACTGTGATGCTTCATGACAAAGCATGCCCTTACACTGCCACTGAAACCCAAGATCTCACCACAACATTTGGCTGGGAACAATCTGGTCATCCCCCTTAAAGCCCAGACTTAGTGCCAAGTGATTTTCACGTGTTCCTGCATCTGAAAACTTTCCTTGGTGGCCGGCGGTTCCATGATGACGAGGTCAAAGAAGCCGATAACACATGGTCTGAATCACAGGTGGCATCATTCTACGATGCAGGGATACAAAAACTGGTGCCCCGCTATGAGGAACTATGTCAAAAAGTAGTGTACAATATGTACATCAATTCACAATATAAATGGTTTGGAAATAAATTTTTTTTCCCCAATATCCCATCAGAACTTACTCTCCTGGATAACTTACGTACTTCCAAGAAACAAAGTACATGATAGCTATATGAGAAACCCATCTGGTCAGCCTCATTGGAAATCCAGTTCAGCTGTCAACACATACTTGAAGACGGTGTAGAAATGTGAATATTTGCAGGGTAGTAGTTACTGCCATATAAATAAGGAAGAATTGACCATTCTTCTCTAGACCGGAGCCGCTATTTCCTTAAAATAGCTCCTCAATTATAATCACGAGGCTAAGTGGACCCTGTTCCAGACACACTAGTTCTCAGAAAAAATCTGGTAGCGCCGGGAATCGAACCCAGAACTCTGGATCTATAGCCGGAACTCTAACCACCAAACCACAGAGGCAGTGTAAGCTTGTAAACGTTTATCAAATGCTAATAATGAAGATATTTTGAATGTTTTTTTATTCTGAAGACAGTAATTCTGATCTTGGTAACAAAGAAATAAGAGTCATGACTAGGGCCCAGATTTTTTGAAAATGCATATTTTGAGGGCTTTGGGTCGTTACTGCATATTCTAAACGTAAGAGCATATTTCTGCATATACCATATGTCCAAAAAGTATCCGACTTTATTTTTTCCGCTGTAATGGCCAAAGGGGTGGGGAAACTGAGAGTAGTGGTAGAAGGGACTTTCATGTGCATGCCTGATTTTTGCTGACTCGCAACACTGCCGGATGCATCTGTGGCTAACAGATAGCGAAGTGGCATAACACGTGTTCGTTGCATTCGCGTGTCGCTCAAGACGACAGAATGCTTGGAGCAGCGATACTGCATTAAGTTTTGTCAGAAACTTGGGGATACCCAAGCGGAAACAATTCACAAAATTCAGCAGGCTTTCGGCGATGATGCAAGGGGGGGTCACTCATATTAAAGAGTGGTTCAACCGCTTTAAACATGGCCATATGTCAGCGGACAGTGAGCATCGTTCCGGGAGACCATCAATGAGCCGAGATGCTGATGTCATTGAAAAAGTGTGGACAATGATCATGGAGGACCGTCATTTGGCCATCCGTGAAGTTGCTGATGAGGTTGGGATCAGCACAGGTTCCGCAAACAAAATTTTAACCAAGAATTTGGGAATGGAAAGAGTGGCGGAGAAATTTGTGCCCAAGCTGCTTTCGCCGGAGCAGCAACAACTCCACCTTGAGGTCGCGCAGGACATGCTGGAGTGCGCCAACAGGGATCCTGAGTTCCTGAAGACTGTGATCACTGGTGACAAGTCATGGATGTATGGATATGACCCAGAAACCAAGGTTCAGGCGTCACAATGGAAGCATCCAACATCCCCAAGGCCCAAAAGAGCACGACAGGTTCGGAGCAATGTGAAGGTGATACTGACTGTTTTTTTCAATTACTGGGGTGTTGTGCATCATGAGTACACACCACTAGGCCAGACTGTCAATAAGGAGTACTACCAAGAAGTCCTCCGCCATCTTCATGATGCAGTTTGGCGCAAGAGACCGGAGCTGTGGGACGCACGCAACTGGCAGCTGCATCATGACAATGCCCCAGCTCATTCACACCTGATCCAGGGTTTCCTAGCCAAGCACAGCATTCTGCAGGTTCGCCAGGCTCCCTACTCTCCTGACATGGCTCCTTGTGATTTCTGGCTGTTCCAGAGATTGAAGACATCGTTAAAAGGCTGCCGTTTTGACAGCCACAAGGACATCATACAAAATGGCGCAGCTGCACACCATTCCAAAAGAAGCCTTCCAGAATTGCTTCCAGCGATGGAAGGACTGCTGGGCTAAGTGCGTGGAGTCACAAGGGTCCTAGATTAGGTATTGTAACCACCCAGATACAGAACTTTTTTTCCCGGCCCAAGGTCGGACACTTTTTGGACAGAGCAGTACNATTCACTGCTGAAATACTAAACAACCTGCTTCCATGGCCGAGATACAGGGCGCCCATATTATAAGGTAAGGTTATAAAACCACCATTTAAGATCATTTTAGTGAAAGTTTCATGTTCCTATCTCATAGAATTTAAGAACAATGATGAATAAATAATTTTCGAGCAAAATTTAAATGGCCGGCTGAATATATTACCGCAGGAGCCGCGGCCGCGGAATTTAAATGACCACGTCAAAGGGTTAATGTGTTACTCTTTACTTTAATAGTCTGCATCAAAAAAGTGTTCATGTACTGAAAATGCCCAAAGAAAAGTGCAGGAGTAGATATTTAAAAATTCGGTGGGTGTTGGGTAATAGTGACTATTCAACAGATGGTGTCGTCGTGTACTGTCAAGTGTGCTCAAAGGAAGTAAACTTTGAAAAGAAATTTCAACTTGAACAACACTCAAGAACGACTGCACATATTATGACAAAGAAGAGGAAGAATAACAGCACACCACAACAACTACTTCTTACACAGGTCAAACCCAAATCCTCTGTTAATACACTTTCAGCCCATCTTTATAAGGCTTTAGTATGAAGCAACATTCCATGGAATAAATTAAGCAATCCAGTTGTGCGATCTTTTCTGGAGAAATATTGTGTAACTAAAAAAATTCCAGATGAATCAACTCTTAGAAAAAAATATCTACCTTTGCTGTATGAATCTACTCTGGAGTCAATCCGTTCTACATCAGAGTGAACTGTGTCTGGATATCGGTGGATGAGACAACTGATTTATGTGGCCGATACATAGCAAATTTCGTAGTTGGTAAGCTACATCCAGACAAACCCAGCAACCCTCATCTTCTTGCTTGCAAAGTACTAGAGAAAACCAACCATAGCACAATGGCAAGATTTATAAATGATTCTCTGCGACTACTATGGCCATCTGAAATTGAGAATAATTGTTGTAAGGTGCTTGTATTGCTCACAGATGCAGCTTCCTATATGTTGAAAGCAGCAAAGGCCTTACAAGTATTTTATCCAAATCTTATATACGTATCCTGTTTAGCGCACGGATTACACCGTATTGCAGAAAAAATATGCACACAGTTTCCAGCTGTTAACGAAGATGAGTATGCATGTGTCCGTGAAGCAAAAGTGGTGTTTGGAAGTGATACTGTTTATGAAGATGTGAATTTTATCCATGCACATTTTTCTAGTTTCAAAAGCCACTGAGAGCTTAGAATCTTGTGGTGCACTCCTTCACGACTCACTTCAACTCGTTCAGAAAGCAACTTGTTCACTGAATTCCGCTCCAGGCGAAATTGGAGACAAGATTAAATGCAAGTTAGAAATGGTGTTGAAATCGAACCCAGGACTAAAAGAGATTCAGTCAATTAGTCAGTACTTGAGTGGAATTAGGGTATCTTTGCCAGATGAATGTTCCAAACCTTCGGTGTCGGTGTATAAATACTGTCCAATCATGTCAGTTGATGTAGGAAGATCATTCTCAGCCTATAAACTCATTTTGATGGCCAATAGACGTAGTTTCTATCCAGAAAACATTGAAAGACTTCTAGTTGCCTATTGTGATGCTACTTTCTGCAGTGAATGATACATGTAAATAGGTGAGTCTGAATAAAGTGACCTGTTTCTTAAGTGAATACTGTTTTATTTTTGGTGCATATTTCCCTGCTTTTTAGTGCATATTTTAAGTGATTTAGCGCATAAAGATCCAGGCCCTAGTCATTACAAAGAGTTCTACTGTATCTTCTGAGATATAATTCCATGTAGTTCACTGAAGCTTGCTACCTGCTTCATGCTTACTTCTTTCTTGGCTTATTCTTTGACCATCATGATGGAGGCGACATGTCCCCCTGAAACGTTATTTCCCAGAAGGAAAATTCTTCGTAACTATCATGAGAATCTCTAATCCTACAGAGTTGTTATAAGTTTTGGAGCTAGTGTTATCTGACACATACAAATTTCAATCCCCAGTGGAAATTACTCCTGCACCAAGTGTGGGGCTAGGATTTAAATCTCACCATGCTGACAGATCAAAGCACTCTTACAGACGTATGAAAATTACAGGAAGCAAGATGATAGAAAGGAAATAAGTGGTTCATGCACAACCCCTACCTTGATGGGTTTATATATGCAGAGAATGGCTAAAGAAAACAATAAAAAATCTCAAAATAGCTAGTACCCAAGATGAGATATGAACAAAATATGATAGTGTTAACACTACTTCAGCCTGCTCAATCCTGCAGTTAATACTTGGCCCCAAGTGACAGTTTCCTGCTCAGATATCTAAAGAAATTTATGGACAGAAAGAAGTTTTCAAATGATTCTGACCCTGAAGTTGATATTTGTGCGTGATTTCAAGGTCTGAAAAAGTCACTTATATTCTGAGAGAACCAATCATTAATGTGGAAGGTAAACAAGTGTTTTTGCATTGAAAGGTCCATACAACAAGACATACAGCTAATTTAAAATTCTTGCAGCTTAACAGAATTCAGTCGACTTAATCTGTAGCACGCACAGGAATGTTACAGGTGGACAGCACACTACCAAATACTGAAGCTGTTGTCGTTTGTGGTATACAATCACAAAATAACTGTAACGTACATTAAACTATTAATTTATTACCTGAAATAATGGAATCAATGATAAGTTGAATATGCTTTGCTAGAAGATCAGCATTCTCAATCGCAGCCAAAGATAAGTATGATGACATGTTTCGAGACAATTCCCTATTGCCTTTATGTAGGAATTTGACAGCCACAGGTAATGCACGCTTCATCACATCCCTCTTACTATAGTTCTGTAACAGAGGTCAATGAACATTTTACTTCTTAGCCACATCAATTTTATAATTTCTGCACTCCCAGCGACATTTGCAGTAAATGTAATACATTGATGCAGAAATTCTAAAACATCTATCGCTTTTCAAAGAATGTCCTCTAAATTGAAAACTGTATTTTTATTTCAGCAATAGGAATTGGGGTATACATTCTGCAGCATGAGCTGGTTGTTGCTGAATAATAATCTGGAATTAAACCTTACAGTTAGTGTACAACCTCTGCACAGATTGCATGAACATACTATATGAGGGGTACCCAAAAGAAACCGAACTTATTTTTTTTTAACTTATTTATTCAAATTTTAAGCATAAACTTTCAATCCCCTTCAAAGTACTCTCCACTTACACTAATACACTTGTCCAGTCTTTTATTCCATTTTTCAAAACATTGTCTAAATTCATCTTTTGAGATGCTTGACAGCGCCTCCATCATTTTTTCTTTTCATGTCTCTTTTCATTCGAGGAAACAAAAAAAAGTCGCATGGGGCAAGGTCGGGTGAGTATGGAGGGTGAGGAACAGGGGTCATACCATTTTTGGTCAAGAATTGTCGTACAGACAGGGCTGTGTGAGCAGGGGCATTGTCATGATGGAAAAACCAGTCATCCAACTGCCACAAATCTGGCCGCTGAGCTCCAAGTCATTCCCAACAGCTCCACAATTTCTTCAATGGTCTGTCGTCGATCTTCCTTGATGATTTCACGAATTTTTTCAACATTTTCATGTGTTCGGGCCGTGGAAGGACGACCAGAACGAGGTTTGTCATCAATTGACATTTCACCATTTTGAAACGGGAAACCCACTCAAACACTTGAGTTTTCCCCATAGCATCGTCCTTGTACGCTGTTTTTAACATTTCAAGAGTTTGTTCCACTTTTCCCGAGCAAAAAGCAGAATTTCACCACCGCACGCTGTTCACGAAAATCAGCCATTGCAAAAACGATGATCACACAAAACAGTTGTCACTATAAACTCTGTCGAAACTAGTCCTTACCTTCTGAAGCAATGGTAGTCGGCTTATCGACTCAGGAATGTTAGCTCTATGCACTCATAGTGGCAAAACACGGTACTACAAAAGCTCTGCCCACAAAAAAATTAGTTCGGTTTCTTTTGGGTACCCCATCGTATATAGCAGTGATCATGTCTGCCAGATTACCATCCACATGTTTCAAGTAAAGAATGAATGAGTGGATTTAGATGAAATTTGATATAAATTGTCATGTCATAAACGGCCAACCCAAACTTTTACTTTTTATTTTTCTGCCACGGTAATAATAATGTGGCATACACATGCATATATGACATATGAATGGCGTGCAGCGAGAAGCAATTGCCACATTAACAAATTTCATAGCTTTGAGAAATGCATATATGATAAAGCTCATTTTTCTGTTGATGGAAACAAGCATCCATATGTTGTTCAACCAACAGTCTTATTAAATATTACTACAGTCTATTCAGGAGTTACAAACTCTACAGCATAATTATGTATAAGGTTTCAATAATTTTAAAAATCATAATGTTATTTAAAGGCAGCTACATAAGAACTGAAATTAAAGCTGTAATTAATAAGTTAATGTGGTCTTTAAAGATAAGTGGAACAGCTAGACGCATTACGAATGCAAAGGTGTAAAAAAACGCATATGGGAACTGTGTTCATTCCAGTAAGAATACCACCTTCATAGCTATCACACCATCACCAAAATCACTCAGAATTAGCTTTCAAATCTTGAGAATTTGGTTCAGGTGGTGAAGTTATGTGAAAACAACATGCAATTCTAGACCAATGCTACCCTCTGTATCAGGGACTGAACCAACCAACATTATATTTAAGAGCCTGGAGCATTTAAACACTAAAAATCACCTTTCTGGTGGATTTAAGGGGTGAGGGAAATAATCTTTTAGATACTACAAAAAAACTACTTACATTAAGTTTCATCACAGAAAAACATGTGGAAGCTACTTCTAGAGGTGACTTCATGTGAATAAACATGCATGCACACACATTTAATATATCTTATACTGTGTCCAAAATATTGCTTCATCATCAGTGATACAGATCATTACATCAACATGACATTATTAGATTCTCTTTAGAACATATGATGAGAATGAAAACTGCTATACTAGGGGTGTCACTGAACACGCACATCCTGTATTCATTAACCGGAGGGGCCAATTGGCCCTCTACGTTTCTATATCACTGCGGACCGGGCGGGCCAACTGGCCCTTTTCTGACCCGTTATGTTGCAGCCAACTATATCTCGCTGTGTGGCCACGTTGCATCATAACTACTGCGTAGTTGACCTTGGGAATATTTGCTAGCTTAGCCAGTAACATGATCACGCTCATTTCCTGTCACACCCTAAAGAAGAAAGCCTTTGTTCGAGTCCAAGCTTTCACATATGAACCAGGAAGTTAGCAGTGCAACATGGATCAGAGACGAAAGCAGTTGCAGGCGAAGCGTTCTCTCGGAGAACAAGAAATATTAGATTTGTTCTCCGATGAGCTATCAGATTTGCCAACTGCTTCGTCTTCTGATAGCGAGGCCAGCCTCAGTGAAAGTGACAGTGACAGGGGCCACAGGGCCCCCCCAAAATATTGTGTCCAGTGAAAGTGAGAGCTCCGATGAAAGTTTCCAGAGATATCACATGCACAAGCACTTCTAGGAGCTCTGGTAAGTGTTCTCCAAAAATTTTAGTTCATAAAATTAATTAGGAGATTTTATATTAATTTTTAAAGTGAACAGTGCACAAGTTAGGGTGCTAGGCTTAAAAACCCTGGTTCCCAGGGTGATTTAAATATTTAAACAACCGGTCCGCAATGTGTTACGATTGTGTACTCAAGGTATGGTACACCCTCAAAGATATTCACTTATATTCATTTTACCCCTGAAAGTCTGGTTCTGAATGGTATTCTCTGAAACATCCTCCCAACAGAGAAGCAAGTCACACTCTTGCAGTACGCTGTAGTGTACTTCACTTCTGTTTGCCCAGTTTTATGTTTGTTTCCATCTGTGCACACCTCACAGCTTTGCTGGGAACAGCCTTTCAATTTAGACTTGTATATGGAAATCTGTATGAGAAATGACCTCATCTCAGTTTGCAATTGTTAAAGATCTTGCAGTTACTTCTCCGTCTGCAACTGCTGTGTGGCAGGATTTTCTTATTACTCTTCCTACAATGTAAGATCTGAGCATTTGCTATTGCAAGATCACAGAAATAATAGAAAAGTTTCTCTCACGACTTATGGAATATTCTTCAGGCATCAGCTGGTCAGATTTGACAATGCCAATTTTATATTTATTGTAGCTGATTAACACGATATGTTTAGTTTTCTGGCAGTATCCCTTGGAAGACTGCACCTCAATTATGAGATCATGCATTTTGGTCTTATTTACTTTGTACCTTTATTTAAGTAGCTATATATACGAAATCATTTTTGTGTTCTTTCTTTTAGTTTTATCTAGGCAGCGCTCAAAATCTATTCTAGATGATTTTTCCCTGTGTTCTGGTGATAAGATATAAACTTGTACTTAGTTATTTTTTAAATTTATTTCTTTACCAACCAACTTAGCACACTATAAAAGAGATTATGTATATTTTTATAACATTTATGTTCCTATGTTCTCATGCAAAAATTTATATCATCAACACAGACTATTCAATTCCTGTTCCTCCTGGTTTTCTCGAATCATAACCATGACAAAATTGAAAAGGTATGGTGACTATGTTTTAGAAGGTTCTGAATAGGAAATGCATCAGACAAGTGTTTACACATATGGACTTTGCTATAGGTTTTGTTTAACACACTTCAATTGGCCTAACTAGTTACACGGACATACTGAATTTAATTATTGTACAATACTTATCTCCTAACAGAATCATATACTTTCTTGAATCCTATAATAGTTGATGTAATCATCCTACCATACTCCCAGTTCTTCTTCAGTATATGACAAATGCAGAATATTTGATCAGTAGTTCATCTATTTCATCAAAATGCCCACAGATAATCGCCCATTATTTTGTCTATGTATGAAATTAGTTTGTGATAAAAGTATAGGAAAAAACGTTGCGTGTAATTGATAGCAGTAATATCTCTCAATAATTATTACAATTTTTTTAAACCTTGAAGAAAGCAGTCTTCTGGGATTTGTCACCGTGTATATGTGGTGTTAACCGACGTTTCGGAGGAACGTCGGTTAACACCATATATACACGGTGCCAAATCCCAGAAGACTGCTTTCTTCATAGTCACTGCCGTGAAAGCCTCAAATCTTACTTATCAAACCTTCTTACAAACAAGTATAATTAAAGATTCCTTCCAACGTTGTGGTAGTTCTTTCTTATTCCAAACACAATTAATAGTCTGTGTTCAAGGCACAGTACTAAACTGAAAGTTCAAGTAAACATGAAAGAAATAATTCAGTTGTCTATTACTTAGGCAACAAAATGTGCAATCTCCAACTAAACATTTCTTCTTTTTAAGATTTACAGCCATTTACAAGAAAAGCAGCAATTATGCAATTTTAGATTTTATACCTTAAGCCTGAATTAAATGGCCACACATAATTATGGAGCACCTGGTACTGTTACAGCCTTTAAAATTCTCACCCACATGAATATCTACACCTTCCTGCCTGTATGGTGCACAGGCACGAGCAAAAGTGAATCAAGGATTATAAATCATGTAAACTAATTATGAAAATTATAACTATGCAGAGTGCATAAAATTCAATTAAAGCTCATTGTGGAATACTGAAATTGCTTTTGTCATCTTTGTGAATATGAGATAATCTGTCACCCAAAATCTGTTGCAAAACAATGTGCTTACATATATTTGCTTTTCAATACATTTTCATGCTTCACTGCTGTTTTACAACACAGAACACTGCCTCAAGAAGTGCCTGCCTTGACACATACTACACAACACAGAATCTATGATGAATTCACTGTGGCAAGGTCACTATGCTTGAATTGTTCATGAATGGAATGTGGTAGGAATAAGAACAGAAATGAACAATGACATATACAATAGTGGCATAACGAAAAAATTGCAGAGAATTACTACAGGGGTCCACATTTAGTTCATGTGACACATTTACTAGCGGCTGTTCAGAAACATTAAAAATCTTATTTCATTGTGCCACAGCTTCAAATATGGCATAACAACAATGAGTACTCACATTTCCTACAGAAGTACTTAGGTCTTCATACTTCTACTTTGACTAGCACATTCTACAGCACTTCATATTTCCTTTATCAGGCCAATAAGGAAAGCAAGTGCAGCACTTAGTCCTCCACACACAATCCCACAGAGATGAGGTCTCACATCAGTTGTTCCTTGAATTTTTTATGGGTCATAATTTCACCACAAAACCTGTGGAGAATAACATTTATAGTGACCAATTCTGTGAAATGGCAGAACCTCTTCATTTATTCCAAGATCTTCCTGTTCATACCATAGCTGGTGGCCATCTGTTTACATCTGTCCATGTATCCCAGAGAGGCATCTCTTCAGTGACTGCAGGTCTGATGGTGTTCTCAGATTCAACACTTGTGTGGGTCATGAATGTTATCAGTATATGCAACTTTCATTTCTCCTTCTAATATATGGTCCACAGACTTGCATGGACCTTGAGATACTACACTACCTTTCATCATCATAGATCCTTTTGCTTGAAATTGGCTGAAAATGTTTCTGCTGTGGTAAAGTATAAAACAACTTGTTTCCTTCTTCCAATGCTCAAATAACGCTGGTGAGGAAAAATAATTGCCAATATAATACTTCATCCACTTTTCACACATGGTGCAGCATTGCACCATTGGCACAATCATCAGTGGCTGCAAGTTCTTTTTGTTTATTGATACATTCACGTTGAAAGTGACATTCTGTCACATAGTTTGTAGAGCTGTAATCCAAAGCTGCTTCATTTATTTGGAATATACTGCATGAACGCAGATTTCCCTTTGAAAAAGATAGTGACTTCACCTACTGATAACTATTCAGTCAGATGATATACTTGAGAAAATATGAAATTCAGAAGGCAAACACTTTATCTAAGCTTCTAAAATCTGTCATAATTTGGATGATTTATATTGACAAATTCCTCTTGTTCATAAAACGTAAATATTTCAGAATATGCGAAAAATAATCATGTCCTGCTATTTGATGAAAAAAAGGGGGTATGGTCTATTGTTTGCACCTGGACCAATAATCCCCACGTGACGACCCATCCAGATAGTAAGTGCTACAAAACGACAGATTTACTTCATTTTCACATCTTGCATAGCAGAGGTACTGGGTCTGTTCCAAGATGCCTCATTTCAGTGGAAGCAGCAATTTATACAATTATACAAAATTCCTATTCAAGAAACAACACAAAGCAAGTGGTCAAGAATTCATCTAGATGTGGCACAGCTGTTCTGTTCAATCCATTTGTTCCCCTACAAAATTACTTGCACAAACTTTATCAGCAGGAACACTGCCCTTCCATTACAGTTCAGCATAACTCTCTTTCTTGTGGCCCTCTTCTGATGAAATAAAGCTTCCATTAAGCTCTACCTGAATCACATCACCTTCTTCTAATTTATCAAAACAAAGACATTTAGATTGGCCTGTCATGTGAGTTCTAAAGAAACTGTGGGTAGAATCAAACAATGATTGCTTACTTCAGATACAAATAACCACTGGTAACTTGCACAGTTCACTGTAGTGACTTTGTGTGAACACTCAGTTTGTTTGCAGTGGTTATAGCAATACTGAACTGAGAGTGACTGACATAATACTGAAGTTGAATTAAATCCCCCATTGATCTCTTGAAGAATTAGGGAGTTCTACATGCTCCATCTGCTGCACATGATCAACAGTTCTATAAACAGGAGCAGTCACATTTCAAAATAACATCTGGTGATAGGCGGAGTTTAAACATAATGATTTCAAGCAATTTTAGACATAAAAGGGCTCCAAACTTCAAAATTTGTAACAGACCCCATTACAGTTTAAACAACAAGACTGTGTAGCAGAAGTGGACTAATTCTGTCCTGCAGAACACATGTTACCCTGCTTAGATCACACAGGGTGGCACTGAAATGTTCTCCTTAAAATTGATAAGTGTCAGTTATGTGATTTGAGCTTCTCAACAATAAATGCACAATCACTAATGCAACCATTCAGACTCTTTAACATCTTTACTCCCATAAGCAAGTTCAGTTGTTCATAGCTGCTGTGTCCACATTGTAGAGAAGTCTGAATGTTTCAGACTGCGCTATGAAAAGGTCAACAATTTTTTCCTCTGAAAGCACTTTAGGCAAGTACATTCTTCCTCTACCAATAGACTGTGCATACAGATATCTTTTGTGATTGTCTGGACGTACACAGATCACTTGCTATTTACTTCTTTATTGTGAAGCACTGCCAACTGCTAGTGGACCGCTTAAAAAGGCAGGCTGGAAAGTAGGCTACTTGCAGAGGTACTGGGAATGCAAGTGCTGAGGCTCATATATCCTTCAGCATTGCAGCATAAGTTAATTTAAACACAGCTTTCTTCAGAATAAATACTAAACAGCAGATTTTAATCTGATGATAATAAATTTTACGACTTACAAGGAATATACATGATATTATGTCAGATGATATCTTAGCATGTGGGGGGTCCTCATCTTTGTGAGATGGCTTCAAGTTATGGTTGAGACACGATTCAAGCAGAGCAACAAGGGCGTCAGCATGCTGCTCCATTGATCCTGTCTCCCTAAAACAAGGTACATACATTAAAAACTGGCAAACACCACAGGCTTCAAAACTTTTCAGAGAAATTACAACACATGTTCAGCATAGCCAAGAACCATGTGGCATGAATACAAATCCTTTTAAGAAACTGTTAAACTCTGCATCACCAAGAACACTCACATAAATCAACATACCTGATAGCAGATGTAACTCGAGTAATACAAATTTCAACAACACTCTGATCATTATCATTGTTGATATAATCAGGAAGACTAGTTATTTCAGAAATTGTGTTTACAACTTCTGTTAAATCATTCACTATAGCATGGTCAGCTACTGAAAACAGATCTCCTGCCTGAAAAATATTTGAAGCATCCATTTAGAAAGTGAACTTTAAACTAGCTAAAATCATTCATACATATCAAACTGAATCCTGTTAACGTGTATTAAACAATTTCCTGTAGCTACATCCCATTATGTGTGGAATAATATTTATTTGTTTTTCAGAGAAAAGAAAAAGCTTTCTGTCAATAACAAAATTATATTTATTATGTTGGCACTTGAAAAATTATTTTTTTCTTTTTGTATCCTATAATCTCGAGGTGTTCTAGATTATACCCCAAATCTTCCACAAATTCGTGTTTCAATCATACGAACATATATAATTTTTACCATGAACGCAACAATACTTTATTATTTATTTATACAGCATGCACTACATGTTTCGACCTCAAATGGGTCATCTTCAGGTGCTGCAACATTTCCATTTTTATAAATACAAGTTAGTTCCTATTGAATTCACAATCTAGACAATACTTAGACTAGACTTTGGTTAAAATTAACAATAAAACTAAACAAATTAGAATAAAAATCATACATGTGATAAAGTCTCATATATAACAATATGTTAAACCTAATTTAATAATTGCCAGTCACGGTAGCCGAGCAGTCTAAGGCATGCACTGTCTTCGCTCGCTCGAAAGCCGGGATCATGGGTTCGAATTCCACTCAGGGCATGGATGTTTGTGTGCGTTTTTCTGTGTTTGTCTACAGGTAGAGGCCTTGTGACGAGCTGATCACTCGCCCAAGGAGTCCTACCGAATGTGTAAGATCTAGTAAACGGAAGTGAAAATGGAGTTTCATGGAGGTAGGCCTAGGCCAAAATTGGGGCTGTAGCGCCACAGAAAAAAAAAATTAATAATTAGGTGTCCCTAAATCCACAATTTGTTATTTCAAAATGATTTAAAAAATGATCTTTCAAAATGTCATAAGCTGTGAGTAGCTTCGTTTGTTAATGCAGTAAACCATGTACAGGCTTCATCAAATTCCTTCTACTGTTTGCTGCACTGGGTAGCCGTGTTAGTATCGTAGTGTTACCATTTTCCTAAGAGAGCAGATCCCTCTTCTTTCATATTGTAGAGAGTCAATCTAAAATGGTTTGTTACGTGAATTAATTGTGATATGTTATGTTGCATTTTATATTTATAATAAGTTTCTGAGTATTAATTACTTTATAATATTATTTTATTACTTATGGTTAATGTGTGCTGGTTATACTACATGGTTCATATTACAGTAAGCTACTTCATTTAAGGTTGCTAGCTTATTGTCCCAGAATGAGGGTAACGGTATGGAGGGATGGGGTGTTCAAGGAAGAGAAAATATTAGTGGGGTACAGTGGGTGGGATGTTACACTGTGTACTATCAGAATACTGATTATTAATTAATTTCTCACACATTCTTCCTGTTATATTGTGTTATGTGTTACATGAGCTTTTTCTTCAGTTCTACTGTATCAGTTCCTCTTTCTATATCCATTCTCTTACATCTGTGCAAATTGTTTTCGTCTCTTCTACACTGCTACTTTCCACTGGCTGTATATTATTTTAATCCTCAATATAAATAAAGGTTAGACAGATGCTTATTATGTAGGATTTGAAATTCTCACAAAGGTGGTTAAGAAGACTTCCATCTTCTGGGATATAACACTGTGTAGCCTGCTGAAAGTCAACTAACATTTTGGAGCCCCTGCTTGCTACATGCTTCACACTGCTTTCTTGCTTGGCCCATTCTTTGACCCCGACGATGGTGGCAACATGTTCTTCTGAAATGCTGACTTTCAATGGACTACATGGTGTTATATCCCAGAAGACTGAACTCTTCAAACACTTATTAGTTACCAAAAAAAAATCCGTGGCTTGAGTCCGCAAGCAAACTATACCAACTGAGCGACCAGTTACAGACTGCATATTTCATTTCCCCATTTTATGAAATACTCTTGCTCTATGTCTTTTTGTAGGTACTGGTTGATTTTGACACATTTAAGAGACTGGAATTTCATACAATATAATAAAATACCAGGAAAGTGTATACTAAGAAAGGGTGGGGCAAAAGAGAGGCATGAGTGAGATACTGATTAGATTCTGCATTTAATTTTGTTATTTTAAGTATCAATATGGTAATTATTTTTTCAAAATTCCTCACATCTATGACATGAAAAGGATGGAAAAATAATCTAGTAGTAATGCTTCCAACTGGTATTCAGGAGGTGCCTGCTTCGAATCCAGGCTGGCTGATTTTTCATGGTGTTTCAGTCACTACCTGTTTTAAAGAGTTCATTTATATATGGTTTATTTAATGACACTGTAAGCAGATCAGCTGATTATGTATAATTAATTTGAAAAGATGCAGAATGAAGCAGTCATTGCCTCATAAGGGGTATTAAACCTGGCACTCAAGCTGACCAAAGAAAACCATGAAAAACGTCATGATAGCCAGTCTTCATTACTTCCTCCAAAATGTACTGTAATATACACAGGAAATCTGGAAGAGAAAGCCATCCAGTGCAAACAAGTTTATTGTAAAGAGTGGAATTATTTACATGGCCTTATATGTTTTGGCCCTTTGAGACCATCTTCACAGGCTCAACAGTACAAGGAACTTGTTTTACAGTTTCTAAGGATCTTACAGTGTCATAATAATAGAATAAGTTCAGAGGCTCCCAAAGGACCAGAACATGTAAGGCCACATAAATAATTGGATTATTTACACAAAAATAGATTTGTTTACACACTGGTTGGCTTGTCATTCCAAGGTGAATACAAGTGTAATGGCAAAGATGTGTGACATTAAAAAATATAGACAAAATTTCCCTTACTTTTTTTAATGTGGCAACAGTACTATGAAGGAAGCCAGGATAGTTCACTTGGTAGAGCAATGGGCTGGATACCTGGGGTACAATTTCTAGATGAGGCAAGAGATATACGTCTATTCCACAGCATCCAGACAAGCTCTGGGGTCCACCCAGCCTCCTATACGAGTATCAGGGAGATCTTTCCCCAGAGGTAAACTGGGGTAAAGCAGCTGGGGTGTGATGCCAACCACTCACCTCCATCTAGTGCCAAAGTCAAGAATGGTGGAGCTGTACATCTGTTCCCCCTTACAACTCCATGGCATGGTGCTTCATTAATTAAGTATGGGGACAACCTTCTTTTTAACATCAATAATTTTCACAATGTAACAACCAATAAATAACAAAGTGAAACTACATGAAAGAGAGTGAAGGACTAAATGTTTGTGCTTATAATAAGAAAATGCTGTTATCAGATGCAAACAGAAGTTGTAATTATGTTCTTGTTTTTCTTATGGCATGTGATACGATGCCCAAAAAGTGTGAGAACACTTGAAAGGGAATCAAGAGGTCACAGAGAGCAACAAATGTGGATGGGAAAGGAAATAGTTACCAAATGTTATCACAAACAGAATGGACCAACAACTTCAGATGATAAAATACCAGCATTTCTAAACTAAAGCATGGAATTAATATAGTCGATAAAATATGCAATTTATATTCTGTAGCTGGCATCATTTAGGAGTGGCCTATGGCAATGAACTTTTTACTAATGAACACAGCACAAACAGATGAGAAAGTTCTTTAACATTCTGATGCAGAAAAACCCAAACAGACAAGATAACTTTTTAATAGAATTCACTGCTCTCTGATGACACTATATATTATTCAGTCCAAAATAAAGGCATTCCCAGCTGGAGTGACAGCAGTCCTTTCAAAATACTGGCAAACTACTTAAGGTAACAAGGTACAAATGAAGAAATGGCGAGAAAAGTGGGTCAAAAGTGTAGGTGCAAAATATGTATAGACACCTTCAGAATGTAATTCCTACAACCAATTTTCATTCACACAACATGTTCCGAATAATATGCAGCTGTTATAATGGAGACTGCAGCTTCTATACTTAATATACATACATTCACTGTAAATGGGTTGAATTGCAGTTATCTCTGTCATTTTAAAATTTATGCCAATCATAATGTTAATAATGAGAAAATAATCAGTGCTTATGTTTAATAGGAAACAAAACAGTTGAAATAAAGAACATAGGAACAATTCATTGACATTCTATAGAAATTTTCAAGGACAATTTCAAAGCACACCTGCTAAAGGGTGAACACACACAAAATAATGGAATTTTACATATAACTAATGTGCTAATAAAAAATAAATATTCCATTTGTTCTAATGGAATGGTTCACAAAATTACTGAAGTACACACATCTTAACAAACTGATGTACAGAGAGAAGGGGTTTTAATTCTGTCCAGCTTACTGTACCATGGCAGTATAAATTGTTTGTTCTCTCACAATGAGTAGTCTGAAACATAACAGACACAATCTGCACACTTCTAACATCTGGCTCTTCTTGGCAATAAACATAATTTTATTTGGTAAGAGAGTACAAAAACTTAGTTTTAGAGTAAACTTACATGACCGCTAGCTTAATAAACAATTCTGGATAGTCCAAAATGTGTAGGTAGAACATGCTGTGCTGTTTATTAGGTGTAAGATGGTGAGCACACACTGAACATAACACTTACCTTAGACAAATCCTTTTTGCTCAACACCTGTGTGAATAGTTCATGCATATTTATATAGTATGGTACTCAGCAACATACCAGCTGCCATCACATCTCAGCACCACACACCTTTGGATTTCTTTATGCACATCACTGCAATTAAAAATGAATAAATCTTCGCACTGGCCCGCTTGACTATTCAAAACCTAAATGTCATTTGACACAAGTTCACTTAGGCTAGGGAAAGTACCGTATTAATACTGGGGTTTGTTTTCGAAAATCCTAAAAATAATTCTTATGAAACATTAAAAATGCATATTTACTATCTGAAACGTTTCACGTACTATACGCCCAGTAACAACTTACACATCAAAAGAGATATGAGCCACATAACATACTTCCTTACTTTCTCCACCCTGCAGCATTTCAAACTGCAACTGAGCTACGTGGTTAAGTGGTTAACGACCGATGTGAAGCTAACCACGCTAGCCACCACGCATAACCTACACAGTTTCTGCCGTGTACCTGTGTCGAAATAGAATAACAGCAGATTGACGGACGGCTGCATGTGGCAATAACATCGTACAGACGATACAGATCACCACCCTGTGAAATCATTGTTGTTGACGGGCAATACAGCCGCCGTGACATTTTTTTTTCTTTTGAAAAAATAAATGCATGTGCAAAAATTGCCTAGGCACAACTTTACTTTTACAGGGATATTATGCCCATAAACAGCGCCTGACAATCCAGATGCTTGCAAAGGAGGTTCCCTTCTATTTCGGCTCTGTCCACTAGCTGATTCCACTTGTCGCCATTGTTACACATTTCGGACGAGGTCTGAACTGCCTTATTTGAACTACAACAGCTCGAACTGGAAAATTTTAATTTCTTGCATCCGCGTAGTCCGCTATTAATTATTCACACGTTTCTCGGGTCGGGTCGGGTCGGGTAAATTACTGCTGGTTCCCGTCAGCACACTCATTCTTGGTTCGGAGCACCTCGGCGCTCATGGTTGTATATTACTCTCTCACGACTCTGAAGGACTTATAACTCCGTCCATACTGTAGCATGTAGTACCGTTGCTATGCAACGATCACGAGAAGGAACATGCGTTGCTTGGTAGCGGCCGGTAAACCCGTCAACAATATCCAGTCTATTGCTAGACGGCAGCCCATAATAATAGAAAAATGGTTGGAGGCGTTGTTTTCTGTTGGGTCCGCCATGAGGTTATATAGCCAGGGCCCCAGGTGAGACGTAGGAGGCGACGAAAGGGGAAGTCTCAAATCTGAGACTGCCGATGTAGCAGAAGCTATTAGAAATAGGGCATAATCTACTGTACTGAGCCTGGACTGACAGAGGCCCTGTATATATTTAATACATTTATTATCATGTTTAAAATGTAAAATGTAAATTTCCTTTACATTATTTGTAGTTCCGAGTTGTATGTATAAGTGGTCAATAAATCCGTTCACAAATCCAAATCCCGTCTATAGTCACACGTAGTACGTGATAATATTATTCTGCCTGAAGGCATCCAGTATACATCTCAGAGGCAGGCTGAATAGAAAACACTCTCTCCAACAGTTCCTATGTTGTGTGTGTAATCGTTCATGCGGAAATATTGTTCAATAAACCGTCGCCTAACAATGAACGTCTCCGCAGCGTTTCTGACTCCACTATTCTAGCCTTCAGTCAACATGTGTTCTCTCTCCCCCGAGGCTTCACGTACCGGATAATTTTCAGGCGCATTGCCATTTCTTCTGTTCCAAAGGGGCCCGACTTTTATGTCTATGATCGCCCTTGCGAATTACAACGTCCTGCTGGACCCCGACGTTTTTCTTTTGCTCTCTACGGGGGCCATCCTACATTCATTAGAGATCTGGTCTCGCACTGCTCTTCTGCAACTGCTCCCACCTTAAGATTGCTCGTCTCGATCTGTTCCCTGGCAAAGGCAGTAGTCGGTCCAGATGAACTATCATCCTTGTCACGACAGTAATTCTCTATACAACTGTTTGGTTTATTATCTTTTCGAGTATCCTTCGGAACAACATCTCTATTGAATTTTGTATTACTCAATTCTCTAAACTTCAAGATATAATCTCAACTTCAGTTGTGCTCAGGGTTGTTAACATATTTATGGATGTTGTCTGCCTTATGATCGTTCTATACTTCAGTATTTGTGTAGATACGAGCTAATGACTCAGTTACAGTATCATCTGAAAGTACCTCATTTATTTGTTTCCATTCTTCCCAATTCAGAATGTAATCATCATCATGTCTGCTTCTTTCTAAGAACGGATGAAGACGAGGCCAGGAACCCGTAGGTAGATCACAGGCTTCTTGCACCAAAGGCTGTATGACCACAACGTTCTCATCAACACTGCCATGATCATCAGGCAAATTACATACTTTTGTGTCACAAGTACGTGTTTGTTTCCGTGCAACTGCTGAACTTTCTGCTGTGAGTTGACAAGCAGTAGAAGATACATCCGCATAAGCAGCAGATGTTAATAATGTTCCTCTGGCATCGGATTTAAATTCTGTGTTGTCTTTCTCATAGTTGCATGTGTCAGCTGTTTTCTGAACTTCAGTTTCTTTATTAACTGATATAATAAAAGAATCCCAGTCAAAACTGGAGTTATTTTCTGTACACTCCACGTATTCGAAAGGTATAGACACTTCGTCAAAGTTTCTGTTTGGAAAGTCTATTTGACAACTTTCCAAAATGGCGTCTATATCATCATCATTGATCACAATTGCACTTTGTAACGCAGGTATTACTTCTTGTACGTTGGTGACTCGATTTTCACAATCCCCTTGATAGGAACTTCGGCCACTTTCAGTATTAATATCATTGTTGAGAGGCTCTTCCACGGTTTTCAATACATTATTCCGAGTATTTAAAAAATTCGAAACTCTTTTTACATCCGTGTTCTTTACTTTCGGACGCTCTTCAGGAAAGTATGGCTTCAGTGTTTCCAACGATGAAGTAACTGTTGAGCACCAACGTGAAACCGAACTTTGGTTGGATTCGAGGAATTTTACAATGTCACCTACTGCTTTCTTCAGACCTATTACCTCTTGTCTCATTTTCAACATCTTTCTTACTCTTTTAGCAAGTATGTCAATATCCTGTAAAAGTACAAATGACTGTTTGTGCGCTACCAAAGCTTCTTCAGACAAGGAGTATGACGATTTACTGAGCCAACGATTGAAGGTAGCCCGTCTACATTTTACATCCTTCAGAACATCTTGGAGAGGAAGCGCTTTAGATGTACAACTTAAAATGACTGGTGCCTTAGCTGCCTTTTTATTTCTCATAATATGCGAACTTGCAGTAACTCGCAGTAGTTTTATTTCCATGCTAAATTTTTTAGAACTTCTAGTAGCAAGAAGTCGTAATAGTCGTTCTTTCATTAGCCACTGCTCCTTCAAACGATTTAGTTCTGCTGCCACGCCTGATGCAGCGTCAAGTTCAGTTTGTAGTGCAAAGGCTTCCTTCTGAAGGAGAAACATATCATTTTCCGCTTCTTTTATCAGCAGTTTAAATCGTTTGTCTTTCTTCATTTTTATATACAAGAATTAACCAATTATATTAATTTATAACTATATGTTGTTACATTATTTTGATAGGAACCAATTCCAGTTCTTACACCAGCTGTCACGTGTTTGTTCACTTTACTTCCTTTACAGCGCTTCGCTCAACTTTTATGTGTATTCGTTGCAGAGGAAACGTGTTGTGATAAGCTGTCGCCTAGTAATGGGCGTCTCCGCAGTTCTTCTTTGACTCCACTATTCTGATTTTCAGGCCTCATGTCACAATATTATTAGAATACCTTCATTATTTAAAAAAAAAATTCTGGGAAGAACTACTCGTCTACTTTCCTTCGATATGACAGACACAGCATGTGAAAAGACGTGTCCAGCACTTCTTATTTTGTTGCGTGTGTATTCGTTGCAGCGGGAACGTGTTTATCTAGCCGTTGCCTAGCAATGAGAGGGGGGTATATACATAGACAAAGAACAAGGTTATGTTATAAGCCTACTTTTTTCAACACAAGGAAAATATTCTGAGAGAACATTTGGACTTAACTAGGCATACTCAATAATTTAAAGGTTGTTGCCTAGGAAATTACCGTCTCCTCTGTCTTCTGGGTTTTGCACTAAGTGTTCTCTCTTTGGCCTGACCCAATGTATTGTGACATGTTGCGCAAAGGAGAACCCCCCCCCCCACCAGCAGTGACGCGGCGGGTGAGTCAGCGCTCCCCTCCCCCTCCTCCGCACGGTAACGTAACGGTGACGCAACCGGATTGTTACGGTAGTAACAGCGGTTACTACCGCTAGCGCCAGGCAACAAGGGTGCCTATTACGTGGCCGTATTGTCCGATCGAGGCTACATAAGGAGCAGCGAAGGCTATTCACAGTCAGTTGTACTAAGTCAGTCAGTTAGTCCTAAAGCTACCTACGAGTCAGTCCTCGAGCTACGTTAGTTCCGAGTTAGCCAGCAACCAGTCAGTTGTATTGTGGCATTTAAAGTGTACTAATTGTGATACTGCAGATAGCAGTAATCGTAAATCTGTAATTTGGGTAATTGTAAGTGCGAATGTGAAATAAAATTCGCTATATAAAATACAGCGTAAAGTTATTTGTCGCGATATACGCCCAATACGCGACAGTATTAAATAGATATTTAAACAGACAGAGAAGGTACGCCTAGATACGACCGTTACCGATCTACGACTAGTGAAGAATGTAACGGACTAAGACAGCGTGTATAGTAGTGATTGAGAGAAGGAAAAGAGGCGGATAAGAGAAGTTGAGCTGTAGCAGTAAGTGAGAATTATTGAGAAAAATGAAGGGGGTGGTGAATTTGAGAGTATACCAAGATGGCGGAAGACCCAGTACCGGAACTCCGTAAATACTGGTCACAGAAACTAGAATCGCTTAAATCTGAACGTCGTACTATCACGAACAATTACCCAGAAGCAGCCTCTGTTGTGAGTATATTGTAACGTGTTGATCTGTTGCTGAGTAACGGTGATGAAACGACGCCCGTTGCTGGGGCAACGGATACTTAATAAACGGTGTTACGCAACCAGTTTCTGGGAAACAACTTGGTAGTCATGTTCCCGCTGCAATGAATACGAAATCAACAATAGAAAGAACGGTGTTTTATATGTGGTCCGTGCCGAGAAGTTATAACCAGGACAGCTGGAGGTAATAAATACCTGGTCATAAGCCTCAGATTGGGCTCGACACCAAGACTGACTGACTGACTGACTAACCGTCGGTCGCAATGTGACTTTAATTGTGACTGTTCTTTTTCCGAACGTATACGATTATATAACAAAATTGTGCAGGCGACAAGCAGAATGAACATGTTCGTTGTATAGGACAAAGCGAAGCCAGACAAAATATAAGAGGCTTAAACTTGGCAGTGGTCAAGCTTACAACCGTTGAAATGACTAAGCTG